TAAGGGCAGCTCATGGGACATTTAAAAATAAAAATGTGCCTATATTGATTCTTACTAAAACTGAAATGAGATGCATGCCCTAACATCTAAATACTTAAACACTCCACCATTTGTCATATGTAATAAAATCACAAATAGCATATTTATAGCTTACCCAGACTGTGAGGACACTTAAAGGAAAAGAAGATCGCTTCCTGTAAAATTTAAATTTCATATCATGTTGCATCTTTTGTTGACCACTGAGTGTACAATCAACAGCATGTTGCAGCTTGTGTTGATTCTTACATGATAAATGTATTGATATTTCTAGTTGTCACACTTTAAATGTTTGGATTATTTACAAAACATATCTGCATGGATGTACATGTATAATGTGAAAAGAGGCTCAGTGAACAGTAAGAATCAGCAAAAAGAAGTAGGTTAGATACTGTATGTTAAAAGTCCACAAGGCGAAGTGCAGCACTTATGTTTCTAAAAGGCAAAATACATTTATTCTTAAGACAAGATAATAAAGCAATGTTTGCCTTTCCTTATAGCAGGCTTGGCCAACCCTGTGCCCTTAAAATTTGAAAATAGTGTCTGGCAAATCTGCAAATGTTGATAAACGAATTCACATTTCTATATATTTTGGCCAAACATCTTGATTATAGCATAGGAATGCAGCCAGATCTGGAATCAAAATGAAGAGAACAAATAAATCTGAATCAAGAAACATAGGAGCCAAGAATAGCAATTAGTTTGATGTGTCAATATGAGTGCTGCCATCTCTTGATGCTATATCAAAGCTAAGACAGCACGATTTTCCAGAAGACTGAGGACTATTTCAACATGACAGAAGGCATGTGGAGACTTCAGGAAAGTTTCCATAGTGGAGAATAATGTGGAAAATGACCAAACTAGCAGCTTGGAGCAGCCATCATTGCATTTCTCTCAGAGTTTGACAGAAGATGTACCCCAGAGAAAACATATTGAAATCAGATAACCGTGAGGGATGGTGTAATGGTTGCAACTTTTTCTAAGGCCATTGTACCTTCAAACCACTGTTAAATGAACAGTTGTAAATTGAGAACTACCTGTCACTTCTCCAACTTAATCCAAGGCCACAAATATATTTGCAAAAGCTTTTGGTGCATTGTACAGATGGTTTTGTCTCAATTATTTCATGACACATAACCAAAAGTTACTAATGGTCAATGTAATTTAATTGTTCCTGATATTTTTTATTGAGTATGTGAAATGATTCCTATCCTAAATTATATTAAAATAGACTAGACATATTAAAACCTGTATTAATTTCATATTTTGCCAGAGCTAAAAGAGAGAGAGAAATGAATACTGCAATGAAAGGTAAGCCAGGAAAGAGATCTAAAAATGATAATAAGCAACAAATATAAGAGCTACTTACTTCATTTAGACATAATCTTAAATTAAGCACCAGATATAAGAGGTCCCTGTTCTTTTTTGCCCTTGGGTGAAGTCAGAAGAAAGAAAAATCAATTGCTTTTGTTTTTCATATGTTTAATCATTGCAAATTGCAAGCCTAGGCTGATGAAGAAAGAGAAGGAAATAAACTACTCTGAGGTTTGTTCACATCACTCTAAATCATATACATGAGAATCAAATCCAGTTGCTACAATGGAAGGTTTGAACAAATCTAGATTTTAATCTAGTCAGAAATGAAACTTTGGGCTCCAGGCTTTAGTCGAACATTTCTCTCGGAATTTTTATAAAGGCAACAATATGCAAAATGAGCACTGTTCTAATTTCTCAGAAAGAAGAATAGAACAAAAATATAATATATAAATAAATTCTGCATGCCTTGAAAATCAGTTTTTTTTTCCAGTTCGACCTGATCTTACTATGATGAACCTGCCTAAATGACAGGAAGTCTCACTGCATTGTGAGGACTGTGTTGTCCAATGAAAGTAAAACTGGCTTTTCATTATGGAATTTAATGTCCTGAGAAACCAACTCTTAACCACACATTTATAAAACTGAATAAAACTAAAGGAGAGCTGCAAGCAAAGGAAAAGCCAAGAAACCATTTAAAAATTTAATAAATCTGTAATTTGGAACTAGATGGTGCTTTTTCAGTGCTTTCAACACTGAAAAACATCCTAAAAATGATTAAGAATAGGGACAACACATATTAAAATGTAATGCCTCTAGTCCCAGATGAACAATCAGGAATGAAAAACAAATGGAGAAAGAGAAGAGCCAAAGGACAGGGTGTTACATTTGGAACTTGAAATAGTAGTTCAAATTCCAGCTCATAAAAATGGACTCATTGGGTGGGAAAAAACATTCTTCCTCAGCTTCAATTCTACATCTGTAAAAATAGAATGGCTGAATCCAAAGGCTGATTGTAAGAAAGAATAAGAAAAGAAACTAAGACACATAAAGTGCTAAGAATACCAATGTAGTGGGATTAAAAAATTGGGACGGCTAATTTTGGGTAGGGAATCACCATCCCAAAATAAAATTAGAAACATTTCCAAGGGGACCTTAGGGAGAGATGTGAGGAGTGTGGACTTAAAAATAAAAGAGAGGGGAATCCTTTATGTGTACACTTTTTAACTTAGCCACACTAAATTTTGAAAGGTTAGGGCTGTTCCGAACAAGCAAGGACCATAATTAGGGAAAGATTACCAGGTACTTGGTTAGCTTGATTATTTTCCATCAATCTTTATATGAGAAGACATGGTACCTGTCATGACATCCGTTGCATTCAATGCAGAGGCTCCCAACCTTTTGGGCACCAGGGACCAGTTCTGTGGAGAAAGTTTTTTCCACAGACCAGAGAAGGCATGGTTTTGTGTGCTTCCTGCATACCACAATTGGGGCTTCACTTGTTTGGGTGGCCAGATTGCTGGCATGCTGTGGACCAGTGCCGGTCCACAGACCGGGGGTTGGGGACCCCTGATTTAATGCACCAATCTTATTTTTCAGGGAAAAGCAGTCACCTGCAATGGCATAACAGGGAAGGAATATACCCAACCAGCCTGCATTGGGGTTGCTATATTTTAGGAAGATTATATTCAGATTGCATAGGATGTGTAACCATTTTTTTTAGTTGCTAGCATGCATTTTGGATTTTCTTCATACAGCTAAAACAAGAACAAGAAATACAACCAGTATTATTGGTGTCATCTGGCATGGGACAGAATAACCGCCTCCAAAAAGTTATCTAGCCAAAGTTTCATTCTCAGCATATTCCATTAGTCTTCCTCCTCTTCAATCATCTCTTACCATGAATAGTTTATTCCAAAATAACATTCAAAAACATAATTTTATCATGAATTAATTTTAGCTGAAAGACTTCCAGTTACTAATTGGATAAATGTGCATTTTAAGATAACCCATAATGCCAGTACAGAACCATTAATGATAATCCTCAGCAGCTGCTACTGTATCTGTTTAATAATCAAGAAAATTCATAGGACCAAAACGGAGTCCTCCCTCAGAATGAGGCATCATGATCAGTAGTCATTTGCAGGTTGAGGGGAGGGGTATTATTTAAATCAAATCCAATAAACAGTATCTACATGTTCATTCTTTCATGTGTTAAAAAGAAAAGAAAAGAAAAGAAAATGAATTATTTCCTGACTACTCACCCTTTGTGGAACAAAACAAAGTGCTCTCTCCTATCCATCTTTTTCTTGGAGTTGCCTACTTTCATAATCAAAATATATTAACATACCTAATCTTTATTTCTTTTAGTCAGTATTACAAAATGGATAGAACACTCTTTAAATTGAAATTGCCCGGATAAGAAATGTGCATCTTCCCTGAGTAACATTCCCCCAAACGAAACAAATTGTACCACAACTATGAAGCATATTACAGGTAGTCTTCATTTAGTGAATGCCTCATTTTAGTGTCCGTTTGCCCTTACAAAAGAGATGAAAATGCAATTTCATGACCCATCTTTGCATTTATAAACTTTGCAGGTCTATAAACAACTACAACAACAAAAGTTGAATTAAAACCATAAGCACATTTGTGGTTTCATTTAATGGCCATGTTGCTTAATGACCAAGTTGCCAGTGACAATTGTGGTTGCTAAATGAGGGCTACCTGTATACTAAAAAAAATGCAAGGAAGCTGCAATTGCCCAAATAAATAGCTGTTAAGCCAACAAATCACAAAGAAGTCTGAAAGAAAACAGCACAGTTGTAGTTGGAATCATGTATTTCCTGACAAAGGTTCTTGGGACATGAATGAGATATATTTACTATTTATCCCCAATTAGATGGTTCAAACAGCTGGCAGTTTGAACCATCAGCATGAACCTCCATGCCTCACGTGTAAAGTAATAGTCCAAAAGACAAGATAACAAAACAAAAATTTCTCCATGATAAATGTCTTGCTTTGGCAGAATAAGTAATTCAAACATGGTACAGAAGCCATTGACCTTCTGAAAGATAAACAAGACACAATAAAGCAGGAAAATGCTGCACAGGCCTTTTGACAGTGTTTTGCTCCTCAGTCATGAAAGCTCGGTATCCCTTGACTAATGACCACAACTGAGCCCAAAATTTATGTTACTAAGTGAGACATTTGCTAAGTGAGTTATGCCCCATTTTACGATCTTTCTTGCCACAGTTGTCAAGTGAATCACTGCAGTTGTTAAGTTAGTAATATAGTTGTTCAATGAATTCGGCTTTCCCAATGAATTTGCTTGCCAGAAGGTTGAAAACGGTGATCACATGACCCTGGGACATAAATGTGAGTCAGGTGCCAAGCATTTGAATTTTGATCACGTGACTCTGGGGATGCTGCAATGGTCATAAGTGTGAAAAACGGTCATAAGTCACTTTTTTCAGTGCTGTTGTAACTTCAAATGGTCACTAAATGAATGGTTGTAAGTTGAGGACCACCTGTACTCTGTGTCTCTCTATCTGTCTCCCTCCTCTCTCTCTCACACACAGTTCAGATAGCAAATTGTGATAGGCTAAAAAACTATATGAGAGGCATAAATGAAACACCTTGCTATTTACCTACACACTGGTTGTTTTCATTCATTCGATACCCAAACCGACAAATGGGAGGTGCTCTTCCCACAGTAGGATAATTTGGAACAGGAGCTGGGACTGGAGGCGGTGGGTACAAACTAGGTCCGTAAGGATTCGTATATGGGGATCGCTGGTTGGGATTTGTTCGTGGAATGCATAAATAGCCCCCGTTTTGATTGACACACACCATATCTCCTCTGCAGGCCTCAGCAATAGTGCGGCATTCATCAACATCTGAAAGAATACAGAAATGGAAAGATTAATTTGGGTCTCTGATGAATGATAGTTTGTGTCTGATTAATCACTTGTTACAGCTAATTAATTAAATAATGTATTTACTTTTAATCACATCATAAATTACTTATCCTGCTTTTCATTTTCAATTTACTTCAGTATAAATTTCTTTTTGAGATGAATTTAAAAAGGGAGAAGTTTACAGATATAGACTGGTTTTTAATAATATTCATCCCCCTCCTGACCAATGCAATACATGGTATGCAGTAAGGACCAAAACCCACCAATTTCAAACAAATAAATCAGATCAAATAATAAATAGAATGGGTACAAAAAATAAACAAATATATGAAAGCTCAGTCAGTTGCTCTTTCTAATGTTTAGTAATATATCCATTAAATTGATATTCAGAGCAATGCTATGCATGTGCAATGGGTCTTACTCCCAATATTGCTTAGATAAGGGAATAGAAGGGGAACTCATCAAATTTGTAGATGACACTAAGCTGACAGGGATAGCCAACACCTAAGAAGACAAGCTCAGTATCCAAAAAGTTCTTGACAGACTTGAACAATGGGTCCTATCCAACAAGATGAAATTTAATGTGGAGAAAAGCAAGGTTTTACACCTGGCCCGGAAAAACCAAAGATACAAGTACAGATTAGGCAAAACCTGGTTCAAAAAAGTAACTGTAAGAAGAACCTTGGAATCCTAGTGGACTCCATAAGCCAGCAGTGTGCAACCGCAGCCAGAAAAGCTAATACAATCCTTGGTTGTATAAACAGAGGTGTAGAATCAAAATCACATGAAATATTAGTACCACTTTATAAATTCTTAGTAAGACCACAGCTGGAATACTGCATGCAGTTTTGGTCATCCATTACAAAAAAGATGTTGAGACTTTGGCAAAAATTGCAGAGAAGATCAACTAAGACGATTAAAGGCTCAGAGATGAAAACATATGAACAATGTTGCAGGATTTGGGTTTCACTAGTCTAAAGAAATGATAGACTAGAGGTAACATGACAGCAGTATTCCAGTATTTGAGGGACTGCTGCAAAGAAGAGGGGATCAAGTTATTTTCCAAAGCATCAGAAAACAAGACAATGGATGGAAACTAATCAAAGAGAGAAGCAACCTAACCAGTGGAACAGCTTGCCTTCAGAAGTTTAGGTGTTTCTTCACTAGAGCTTTAAGAAAAGATTGGACAGCCACCTGTTTGAAATGGTATAAGGTCACTTGATTGAGCAGGGGGTTGGACTTCTAAGGTCCCTTTCAGCTCTATTCTGATTAATTGATTGATTGATTGACTGTTTCCTAACTATTATGTTCTAAAAGCTCTTGATATTTCCCAAGCAAAATTCAAATACTATACAGTGGTACTGATCCAGGTTATTAATCTCAATTTACAGAGTGCTTCATAGGCAAAGCCATTAAGACCCTTCCCTTTATTGCAATTTCCTATGTCCCTTAAAAGCTATTGCATGGGGCTGGGTGGGTGAGTGAGATCTTCTAATCCTCATATGGTTGGGTGACAGACAGAGGTAAGTTAATACAGTGGGAGCAACATTCAGGGAAAACCTTTTCAAACCTTTTCCTCCATCAGAAGCCCCCACATTACAATTGACTTCACTCATCATGCTAAGTTATAATGAAATACATACCTTTGGCTTAATATATTGTATGAGTTCAGATGCTATTGTTTTAATCAGATTTAGATCTTATCATAGAAGAGAATATTTGTAGTTCATGGTTGAACTGTGGGGTGCTTGGTGCTCTTGGAGCTTGGTTGTTTTTTTGCAGACATTGCTACCCCAGAGTGCTACCTTACTCCCTACTAACGCTGATGATGCTATTTAGTTGGATAAAGAAACGTCTGGAAGAAAACATGCAAGATCAGAGAGCACTAAGGACCCTACATATCTTATCATATTGTCCAAACCTAGTTATGATGTATTTAGTACACTATAGATAGATGACTTATATTAACAAAGTGTAGGTCAGATTATAAATTTATGTCCAGCCCTAGACTAATTTATCTTTCATAAAGTGGATTGTTTCATTTTGGCACATGTGATTTGTGAATTAAGACGTTTGCAAAACCATGGTTTGGTGAATACCCATAGTTGGCTGTGATCACCCCATATATTAAGGCATGGACTAATTTGACCCTATTTTAGTATCAGATGAGTAAAAATCCAGCTTACCTTGCTCTTTGTTTCCAATAAAAATAGAAATTGTCTGATTTCCTGTTCTTCCACTAACATAGAGTTTTATTTCTAATTACAAACATGACAGCATTTTCCTGTTCAAGTCATAGCACTGGCACACACATTTTAGGTTGGCTTTTTTTCTGAAGACAGCAAAGGTTTGATTTGGCAGTTGTAAAACCTGGCTCTTTATCTAGAATTTCACATGTCTTATATTCTTTTTCATGTAAACAGCGCAAAATGTTGAATTCTTGAAGATTCATTTAGGATCTTCTGTTAGCTCTCAGCAACATCTTAGGCACTTTCATGGAATATTAAACTGTAAACTGACTTCAGAAAGGCATGAACAAGCTGAAGAATAAGATCAGAGAACAACAGCCATTTTGGAGAACAAAGGCTATTCCCATTTAGAATAATAAACCAATATTATTTGAACATGCGTGAATCTGTGTGTCCCTTCTGAGAGAAAGAATGCAAAGGCTGGGATATATACATGCAGCATCATTAGCATTTGAAAATCATGACTTCTTTTCCACAGCAGGAGATATGCATTCTGACCCTTTATGATTTATCACATAACGCTTAGAATAGCAGATTCTGGGCAAAGGCTGCAAAAAACTAGAAAAAAGCTTATTCAGCATGATCCTTGGATGAGATTAGCTCCTATTAAAGTTGCATAATGCTTTATAAATGTGTGTTTATGTTTGGTTTATCTTTGATGGCAAATAAAGTTGCCTATATGAATAACAACAATAATGAAGAGGAAGAGAAAGAGGAAGCTGCAATTTCTCAAAACGCGCTTGTAGCATTGGGTGCACAAAGAGCCCACTCGCATACTGAAATGCTTGGATGATTAGGAGAGGAGACCACTAAGTCTCTTGCATTGTTTAGGCAGGGCCAAAGTGACCCAGAAGCCAAATGTTGCCTGTGAATGGTCGTACTCCAAAAACCAGTGAGAGACAGATCAAAGAAGAGGATGGAGCCAGGAGAAAAAAAATGAGTTGGATTTAATATAATTGACATTTTAACTATATCACCAATGCATTTAATTAATTAAATATTTTAAAACAATTATTCCTAGTTTTCCTTTTCTGTTGTAAAATGATTGTGATTTGACCAAGCTGTTTAGAGGTTTTCTCATGTCTATACCTAAAGGTCTGGTGGTCCTTGAGTTTCTGGCATTCTTGTTTCAGAGAATTAATTTTTCTAAACTGCTGTGACTTAATTCCTGCCCAGTGTCATGGATGACAACTGCCATCACTTGTAAACAGGATGAACATTTGTTGTGCCTGGCTGGAAATGATAATGAGATATGCAGGCTATACATCTGGAGGACATTAAGTTAGCAAAGCATGCTAGATAGTATTTAGAGATACTTATGTCATATTGGTATTACTTGAATTATTCCATTATTTAAAAGTCAGACTGATGTGATGAGGGAAAAAAGCTGTCATTTTGTTGATTATTAGATTTGCATCAGAATCAATGTACTATCTAAGTACATTGCTCTATAAATCTTTTTAATAAATAGTTTGTCTGACTGTGTTGTGGCCATTGCAGGTGGTGAGAGTTGGGTTTGTGTGTGTTGAACTGTAAAATTTTAACTGTGCATTTTTAATGTTGTATGTCACCTAGTCATTGTGTGCAACTACACTGCTCAAAAAAATAAAGGGAACACAAAACTAAGACATCCTAGATCTGAATGAATGAAATATTCTTATTAAATACTTTGTTCATTACAGAGTTGAATGTGCTGACAATAAAATCACCCAAAAATTATCAATGGAAATCAAATTTAGCAACCCATAGAGGTCTGGATGTGGAGTTACACTCAAAATTAAAGTGGAAAAAACATTACAGGCTGATCCAACTTTGATGTAATGTCCTTAAAACAAGTCAAAAGGAGGCTCAGGGTGGGTGAGGCCTCCACGTGCCTGTATGACCTCCCTACAACACCTGGGCATGCTCCTGATGAGGTGGCAGATGGTCTCCTGAGGGATCTCCTCCCACACCTGGACTAAAGCATCCCCCAACTCCTGGACAGTCTGTGGTGCAATGTGGCGTTGGTGGATGGAGTGAGACATGATGTCCCAGATGTGCTCAATTGGATTCAGGTCTGGGAAACGGGTGGGCCAGTCCATAGCATCAATGCCTTCATCTTGCAGGAACTGCTGACACACTCCAGCCACATGAGGTCTAGCATTATCTTGCATTAGGAGGAACCCAGGGCCAACCGCACCAGCATATGATTTCACAAGGGGTCTGAAGATCTCATCTCGGTATCTAATGGCAGTCAGGCTACCTTTAGCGAGCACATGGAGGGCTGTGCATCCCCCTAAAGAAATGCCACCCCACACCATTACTGACCCACTGCCAAACCGGTCATGCTGGAGGATGTTGCAGGCAGCAGAATGTTCTCCACATTGTCTCCAGACCCTGTCATGTCTGTCACATGTGCTCAGTGTGAACCTGCTTTCATCTGTGAAGAGCACAGGGCACCAGTGGCGAATTTGCCAATCTTGGTGTTCTCTGGCAAATGCCAAACATCCTGCATGGTGTTGGGCTGTAAGCACAACCCTCACCTGTGGATGTCGGGCCCTCATACCACCCTCATGGCGTCTGTTTCTGAGCATTTGAGCAGCCACATGCACATTTGTGGCCCGCTGGAGGTCATTTTGCAGGGCTCTGGCAGTGCTCCTCCTGTCCCTCCTTGCACAAAGGTGGAGGTAGCGGTCCTGATGCTGGGTTGTTGCCCTCCTACAGCCTCCTCCACATTTCCTGATACACTGACCTGTCTCCTGGTAGCGTCTCCATGCTCTGGACACTATGCTGACAGACACAGCAAACCTTCTTGCCACAGCTCGCATTGATGTGCCATCCTGCATAAGCTGCACTACCTGAGCCACTTGTGTGGGTTGTAGACTCCATCTCATGCTACCACTAGAGTGAAAGCACCGCCAGCATTCAAAAGTGACCAAACCATCAGCCAGAAAGCATAGGAACTGAGAAGTGGTCTGGGGTCACCACCTGCAGAACCACTCCTTTATTGGGGATGTCTTGCTAACTGCCTATGCTTTCCCCCTCTTGTCTATTCCATTTGCACAACAGCATGTGAAATTGACTGTCAATCAGTGTTGCTACTTAAGTGGACAGTTTGATTTCACAGAAGTGTGATTGACTTGGACTTACATTGTGTTGTTTAAGTGTTCCCTTTATTGTTTTGAGCAGTGTATATAAATCTGTTTAATAAACAAATAAATATTTTTCTTCCATAAGCTCCATAATGTCTTAGTTCTATATCTCTATTTAATATTTTCACTGCAGGCTTTCAATAGCAGTAGTTCTATTTACTTTTTGCTCTTGTTTTATTTATTTGGTTATAAAGCAGAACTTCAGAATTAGTCTTTTTGTAGCTATATTGCATGTTATATTTCAAATTCAGCAATCAAGTAATTGATTCTTCCATTTTATGGTCAGTTCCAATTAAATTAGTTGAATCTAGTCTTGTTCATTTGAAGATGTAATTAATAAATCATACCTTTTCATATTGAAGAATATAAACATAGCCCAAAGTTTCTAGCACACACTGCTTATAACAGGGGTGTCACACTCAAGGCCCATAGCTGGATGTGGCCCTCAGGGGCGTCCTAGAAAATGTAAGGGGTGGGCCCATATCGTTTCAGCCCGGTCTACCCATGTCATTTTGGCCCAGTCCACCTATGTCACTTCGGTCTGGTCAGTGGTATATTCATCATTAAGCAGACTAAGCATGTGCTTAGGGCACCAGGCCCAAAGGGGGGCACCAGGCCCAAAGGGGGGCACCAGGCCCAAATGAATATGGCTTCGTTTGTACAGTATGTACAAAGGAGGGGGGCACCAAGATTTGTCAATGCTTAGGGCACCAGTGAGCCTTAATCCACCACTGGGCCTGGTCTATCCAATGTGAAGAGGAACCATCGGGCCAGCATGCCTTCGGCCCGGTCTACTTAATGCAAAGAGAAAATATGCCAGCAGGTTGGGGAGTGGGATCAAGCTGGCCACGCCCATCCAGTCAGATTGTCAAGCCCACTCAGTCAGCCACGCCCAGTGAGTGGCATCCATCTGGCCACGCCCACCCAGTCGGCCACACTCACCCGGCCCCCTGAGATCAACCACAGTCCTAATGCGGCCCTCAGTGAAATTGAGTGACACCCCTGGCTTATATTACAGTATTAGCTGAGCGGAACTGATATAATAAAGATCTTACCTAAGCATTGGCCTGACACACGATCCATCTCAAAGCCATTTGAGCATTGTTGCTGAACAGAAAAGAAAAGAGGATCAGACAATGAACAATTGGAAGAATGCAAAATTATAAATCAGAGGGAATATCATGTTTTCTTTTTCCTTTGGTAGCAATAGACATGAAAAGAACCTGATCGCTAACTGAACAAAAGCTGGCAAGATGAGATGACACAGCCACATGCATTTTTTTTGTATTTGGTAAAGATTATAATGAATCTAATATTGTGTTATTTTTCTCTTTCCCCTATGCCACCCCATGTAATCCTTTCCCTTCTTTCTCACACAGTCTGTATCTCACCTGAGTTGTTCCATGACTAATGAGGCAGCCAATAGCCACGAAAATGGGCATTAACCTGCAAGAGGTATAACAAAGTGAGTATATGCATATTTGCCAAGGCAATTTGAAGTAAATAGAAACCGGCTGTTTTTAAACACAATAGCACAGCTTTCAAAATTGCATGAGAAAAAAAAGTGTGTCTAAAGCAAGAATGAGAACCCAGAACCTTTAATGTGGCTGAACCAGAGTTCCCATACAGCACAGTAAACATTGCTGATATATACAATGCAACAAACTTGAAACAAACAAAAAAACCAGGAGAGTCAGTTTGATCTGATGATTAAGGCACCAGGCTGGAAAACAGGAAACTGTGATGAGTGACTTTGTGCCAGCCGCTCTCTTTCAGCCCAATTTACCTCATAGAAATTAGAGGGGGAAAGGAGTATTAAGTATGTTCTCTGCCTTGAGTTATTTATAAAAACAACAGAGACAGGGTAAAAAAAGAGACTGAGAATTTGAATTCTGGCTTAAGCGCAAAATCAGCTAGGTGACTTTGGGCCACTCAGTCTCTCTCAGTGTCAGGTCTGCCTTCAGCCTGTTTTGCTTAGCTGGCATCCTGCCATAAAATGTGGGAGGAGGGAGAAAGAGAATGTAGGGGGAAGGATGACAGGAACCAGAGGTGCCAATCCAGAACAGACTGGCACATCCAAGGATATGAGCATGAGAAAGGGATGCGAAACTACACCAAAGATATGTCAAACCTTAAAGCTGTTACCAAAACACCAAAATTTAATATTATGGGACACTTGTGAGCTGTTCAAGGGGAGAGGACCCAGGAAATGGGGAAAATGCAGGTTTGAATGGGAATATTGCAATCCAACTTTGCTTATGTTATAACCATTTGACTTTATTAAAAATATACCTTTTGCTACAAATGGAGTCAAAGGTCTTTTTTGCCTAAATGGCCAAGGTGGGACGAGCCCGACACTCAACCTTAGGAAGAAGGCTATGGCAAACCAATTCTGAAAAACTCTTGCCAAGTAAACTGCAGGGATAGTCCAAGTAGATGTCAAGAATCAACACAGATTTAAAGATACCATAACCCAACAACAAACAAATGGCAGATTAACTGAGACTGAAATTGCCAAGAACACTGACTCTATATCAGTCTCTGTTATTTTGCCATTTATTTATGATAGCTTCAAATTATATATAAATCTACATATATAAAAGTGAAATACCACTCACGCATCATCACAAAATCTCCAGAACGGTAAAGCCAAACTTGAAATTTGGCACGTATGTTCCTCTTGGCTTCCAGGTGCTCACTAAGAAAGGATTTTTCGAAATGACCATCAGAGCATTAGTATTTCCTATATTATCATTAACACGCTCTGATGCTTAGGAGTTCTACTCCCCCTCCCCTCCTGAAAAGAAATCTGTTCCAAATGCAAAACACAAGCAGAGGAGTTTCAATTTCAGCTTTAGTTTCACAGCACTAAGCAACTTTAGTACAGAACAGTTGAGCTAAGCCACACCCAGGCTCCTTGCTGTCTCCTTCCTCAAACAGCAAATACTCTTTCAGCTTCAAAACAGCCCTCTCTCACACACTGATAGGACGCTAGCCAGATGAATACCGATTGATGCTGGTAGGCTGAATTCCCCCCACCCTTTATTTTCCTCCCCAAAAACTAAACCTGACCACATAGTTTCGTAGCGAAGCATGAGTATCGAGCTAGTGTTATATATAACAGAGCCTGAAATCAGGTCTCAAATAGCCAGGAGACTAACAGCTCAGAGACAAAATGTACACAATATGCTTCCATATCTGAGGAATTGGGATCTCCAACCAAACAGCCTGTGGTAGCAATTTCCCTCTAGAAAGATTAGGACTATATGTCTCAGGTATCCTGTTGGCAAGGAATTCTTGGAGTTACAGTCTAAGCATTCTAGAGGGTACCACACTGAGGAAGATTACTGAGAAAGGTAGCTTCAATTCAGATGAATTTTCATCCTTTCCTTTACAGCTGTTTTTGTCCCCAGTTCTGAATGGTCCTTTCATTGAATTTTTTTCACCAAGGAAAAATCCATGGTTCATCACCAAGGAAAAATCCATGGCTCAACAGGAAGACAGCCATTGATATGGACGAGGACTGAAAACAGCAGAATCTGAGCAGGGAAAATAGGTGAGAATGTTGGAAATTGTAGTCCCAACATAACCAGAGGTACCCATCTGGGAGAACTTTCCGCATCATCCATCATTTCCTGCTGTACTTTGTTTCTCTTAAAATCTTTCCAAGAGATGGTGCAAGTCCAAAGGCAGGCTGCATTTCCCAAAGGAAGATTATATTCCAAGAAAGATTGTAAGATTGTGGTTTTAGTAAGACCACACTTAGAATATTGCATCAGTTTTGGTCACCCTATTATAAAAAGATATAGAGATTCTGGAAAGGGTGAAAACAGAGTAACAAAGGTGATTAGGGGGCTGGAGGCTAAAATATATAAAGACTAGTTGCAGGAATTGGGTATGTATAATCTAGTGAAAAGAAGAACAAGGGTGACATGATAGTAGTGTTCCAATATTTAAGAGGCTGCCACAAAGAAGAGGATATCAATCTATTTTCAGAACCACTAAAAGGCAAATCAAGAAGCAATGGATGGAAACTAATCAAGGAGAGAAGCAACCTAGAACTAAGGAGAAAATTTCTAACAGTGATAACAATTAACCAGTGGAATGGCTTGTGGGTGTTCCATCACTGGAAGATTTTAAGAAGAGATAACCACTTGTCTGGAATGGTATAGGCTCTCCTGCTTGTGCAGGGGGTTGGATTAGAAAACCTCCAAGGTTCCTTTCAACTTTGTTATTCTGTTCTGTTCATGGAAGAGTCACTTCACAGGACAAAAAGTAAGAAAAACAAACTGATCATAGGCGACATCCAGTGTCCAATTCAACCAGACATTGCAACCAATCTAGGCACCCTGACAAGCAAATTCATATCTCCCAATGACTGCAAACATATACGGATTAGAGTCGTATCTCATAAGAACTTTGCATGGCTGGAACATATGAAAATAAATAATTACTCTATTAGAGCAGGAAAAATTCTGCTGAGTCCAGAATCTTTCCTATAATAGCCAGTCATTAAATAATCTTCTCTCCTGAGACAGAAAAACTCTATGTTAAAAATGGTACTTTGACATTCCTCTTCGTTGTGTCCACTGCTTAACAGGAAGTCATTTTCATAGACATTAAAAGAAAAAAAGGCCATACCTGAAGGAAAGTAAATCTAATAGCATGTAACTGAAGGTGCCAGATATTTTTCCCCTTTATTTTTGTATCCCTTCCTCGGTCGTGTCTTCTATTCCAAATTTAAACTATACATTCTTTAGTGCAGTGATCTTTCTTTTATGAAATTCCATAAAGAATACTGAGCACAGCTATAGAAATAGTAAATAGCAATATAAAAACCAATCCGATCTTTCTTTATAATTTCAGTTACTTCCTCTTTTCCCAGCTATATTTTTTCCCCTGCTTTGAAAAATAAGAGAAATATCCTCCTATAAGAGTTCAGTCTGGAACTACTTCTTCAAGATAGTTATCTTCACAGGAAAAAATAATAGCCACAGTATTTTATATGTCTGTACAGTTCCCTCAGGATAAATTGAGTTAGTCAGCAGCATATTAGTGGAAAATATTTTTTAAAAACACAGTCCACTGCTGTAAACTGATTTTGAGCTACAATAAATGTTGATGCACTTCTGCACAAAAACTTTTCATAGACTCTGTAAATGGCTCCAGTGATATGCTGAATTCAGTATAAAGAGGCATATTGTCAGATGTTAGATCTGCATAATACTAAAGGAATGATATTATTCCTCCCCTCTCCCATACAATCTCTTGCAAATATAATGGGATGTATAACTTAAGTAGCTGACTCAGAACTGCATTCAGCAAACTATCAAAAAAGAAACAAAATAGTAACGTAATGCACAGAACATACCTTTTAAATGCTGTCATGTCCAAAACTGATGAATAAAGCCAAGAAGGTAAAACAATAATGCCTGTACAGCTGAATATCTAAAAATACTTTTGTACATTAAATCTTTTGCTAGAACTTCAGACCTACCATCATTTAATTTCCAGAGAATGAAAGGCCAAATCATAGAGAAACGGGGAGAGAGAAAGAGAGACAGAAAGAATGAGGGAAAGAAGGGGAAGGAAGGAGGAGGGAGGGGAGGAGAGGGAAGGGAATCAGAGAGGTCTGCTCCTCCTCAGACACTGGAGTGAATACAGCAATAGCACCTGGTTTTGCTTAGTTCTCTTCTGTAATTCAACATTAAACCAATTGGAGGAGGAATGTTAAAAATGAATACTTCATTTTCTAAGTATGTTAAAACAATGCATGGGAGGCCTCAATCTAGGAACAGCTGGTTTAGATTAGAGAGCTCACCAACTGGCTAGACTTACAACACTCCCAAGAAGCCTGTCAGATGAAAAATAAAATGAAATAAATAAAAGCAAGGGGAACACTTCTTAAGCAGCGTATTGAAAGTCTGGCAACACTGGCATGAGCAATCAACTTCTATCAAGATCTTCTGGAGATATCTGCAAATACTGAGTTGTTCCTCTAGAGCAGGGATGTCAAACTGGTGACCCGCAGGCTGAATGTGTCACACTCAACTCAGCTCCGCAAAGGGGGAAAATGTTGTGATACATCACATGATGGCAACATGACGCCACAAGTTTGACACCCGTGCTCTATAGACTCTTGACTGCCTGGGAATTCTAGAATTGTAGCCCCAGCATATTTAGAAGGAATCAGGTTGTGAAAGTCTGCTTGAGAATGACCTTACTTGAGGCTCAATCTCTTCTCCAGTATCAGCCATTTCTTGCCAATAGAATATATGGGAAATGGCTTCATCCAATGATTTGTTAAAAGGTTAACACTGTCAATTGCCTCAAGGGTCAGAAATAACTACTGTATTGTATGTTATTCAAAATATGCAAATAATTAAAATGTTTGAAAAACTTTTATACCCTATTGACATTTCCATTTATGCCCTTTCTGTAAGAGTATATACTGAGATGAAGACTTCACTTTGCCGAAGTGCAGGATTAGCATCACATATGTATTGCTAAAAGCTGTCCACTACAGATATGTAATACATATATGTATTGCTAAACTGCCATATATGTATTGCTAAAATCTATCCACTATATGGTGGTGGGTGTGGGGGTTCTGGGTCTCTTTGCTGCCACCTTGAGGTTCCTTGGATTTTTGCAAACCTGATATAGTAGCCATACATCACATGATTTATCTTCCTCTACAGTAACTCAAAACTCATTCCTCCCTTCCAGAAAGACTCCAACTTATTTGCAGCATGCAGTATAAAAGTCTGCTGGCTGGTTACTAGATGGCAGAGAGATATATGGAAAATGTATAATATTGACTGAGTGCACACACTGCACAAAGGCAGAGTTAAGCAAAAATTGTATTCCCATCATCATATCATCAATGACCATACTTCTGAGGGAACTAAAATCTAGAATGCCACAAATTGCATACTAAATCTGTGCAAACGATGATAAGGTGCACATAAGAGTGTGACTGAAGCATTTCTCTTTAAGTCACTAAACCTGCTGTATCTTTTACAAGGTTCCAACTGTACAGATAACTTGCACTGCAATTAAACACTGGCAATTCTGAGGTGTTTCATTGTATATGATTATAAAAATTCCATTCAACACCTTGCCTTTAGTAAACTACTTCCAACAAGAACAGCCTGAAACTATTTTAGGCTAATTGATAAATTTATTATTGTAAACAATAGTAACTTGGAAAATAAGTGTTAGATTGAACAATGTTAGGACTGAAGCAACAGCAGAGTCCTAGGCTGTGTATGATTGCGCTCTAGTATTCGCAGAAAAACACTATGGTAACTATACCCTCACTTTTGAATATCACTCTTCAAAAATGTGTTTTATGAATTATATAAAATCTCATTTTTTCCATTCCATAATATGTACTCCTTTGTGCAAAGTATTATGGTTTCATGATGAAGGATTCTTTTTACACTGGGAGGTGTGATGGATATCTAGAAGAAACATTTTGAAATAACTTTGAAATGAAGAATTACATCCTCCATGGGTCAAAATATTTGAAGTTTAAAGCCAGGTTTTGTGGTTTTAATTTTGTTAACATTTGCGGGTTATGTGACATACTTGCTTTTTATGAGAGTTAAATCTGAAATTACAAAACACTTAATTTAATATGTTCAATATTCATGAAAACACTGAAACAACCATTTCAAAGCTTCATTTATGGACTCCTATTAACAATAATCAATAGGAGAAATTTTAAATCATTATGCACTTCAACTAAATTCTGAGTTATATGATGAAATGAGTACTTTGTGATTTCTGTAGCAAAGAACATCTTACTGTTTACATCAAACTTAAATCAATATTTTCCTCTGACCAATGCCAATAAATTGTGAATTAACAACCACTAACTATTGATGGAGAAAAAAAGTAGTAAATTCAGTACTAAGACATAAGTTGATTCATCAATTGAATTTTACTATAATTCTACCTTAAAATGCATTTTGAGAAATTCTTTGATTTGAATTTTTAAAATATTCACATTTACTTGAAAAAGCAGTCAAATAATTACTTCTATTCTATTCTATTCTATTCTACTATATGAATTATATTTATAGATATTTTTATCCTTTGTTCTTTTACTGCTAGAGTTGTGACTGCCACAGATGTCATCTTCAGTTGTTTTCTTTTTATGTTGATAATCTTTCAGTAAAGTTAACAAAAACAAGGAAGATGCCAAATATAAATAGGCAATGTTAGGTAATGCTAACATTTAGTCATATAAATCATTCCAAACCATAAAAAAAATGAAATGAGATCAAATGATAGGACTAACTTAGTGATTCCCAAAGTGGGCGGTACCTCTTCCTGGGGGGCAGTGGGATGACTTAGGGAGGCACTAAGAGGCAAGGGAGGTAGCAGAGGAGTGCTGGAAGTGGGCCCCTCACAGGGCGCAATTCAGCTTCCACCCACACGCCACTTGCCTGGCTTACTGGTGGTCGAGAGGAAGGCAAGCCAGGGCTGACCCGTTGCTGCTTGGATCCCACCTGGATTCTCCACAGCTGCTGGGCCTTCCCTGCTAGGAGCGGGAGTGGAGGGAGCAACCAGGGTGGGGGGTACTGAGGATAAGTTTGTAGCACCAAGGCGGTGACGGACTGAAAAAGTTTGGGAATCATTGGACTAACCTATCATTTGACACTAGCTGCTTAGTGCAACTGTTTTGTAACACATTCAAACAATCTCACCTTTAAAAGCACACTTAAAAGCCACATGCACAATATAATTTAACTTTGTCTTGATTCCTGGAATAAGTACAGACCACTGTTTATTATCTGAAAGAAAAGTGACTATAATTCCATTATAATTCTCCTGATTTTCTGATCATTACCATAAAATCATAAGGTTGGAAGGAAATTGGATGTTTTCTATCTTTGGTGGATAACTAATTTCTCCTTTATTTCCCCACTTTTGAGTTTGACCAGGTTCATATAACATACAAAATCAAACTGCTTTGTTTGTAGCTTAGTGTAATGCATAAATCCAGCCAGAGTAATTTGTAAATCATAGACTACTGGATAGCAAATTGAATGAATGCATTAATTATTTGGTAGATTCATTGTTAACTAAGCATGAGGATTACAATAATAGTAGCATTGCTAAGAGGCTATCCTTCAGTTGTCACATTTTCATTCCCAATGTGGTGTCTTTGTTACATATGAATAGAAATACCTAGGAATACCCCAAGGGACTGAGTACCATTTACTACCCATGTCTTATGCTGTATTCATTGATTTTGAAGTTATAAAATGACATTTTTATAGCCAAAACATGGCATCCTTCTTTATATGCAGATAAACGCAATTAATGTAATATACAGCAGCTAAACAACACCAAAAATTGAGACTAAATAATAGAGAACTCAACAAGATATTTTTGTTGGAAATATAGGAATGTTGAAAGCACATGAGCAAATCATTATTTTATTCTGTTATCAAGAAATATTAACCTCAAACCTCCTCCAATATGAATCTCAGTTATTTTGCTTTCAAGCAATTTCATATTTTTAAAACAGTTTAGCATTTTGGACCCATCCTCAGTCCTTCTAATTGCATCTTTTGGGACACTTTCAAACAAGGATATTTGTTCCATATGAAGGATGGAGTATTAGGAAAACCGACTTAGTGACAAAATACCCAACTTAAAAAAAAAAAAGTATATCATAGTTAAGATAGTTAGGCATAATGAAAAGAAAAAATTGACCTATTTTTTATTTAAAACACTGTTATTTTTAAACACTTTTATTTAAAACACTCTTAATTTACAGTAACTGCAAGAAGTGACTTTATAAACAAATATCTGTAACTTAATCATTAATTTAAAATAATTTTTGTCAAATATCAAATATGGATGTACACTACGGCCCCGTAGTATTAATTTCCTAATATCATCTGTCTGCCCTTTAGATTTAAGTTCCTAAACTGTTTTAATGTTATTGTTAACAAAAGAACAAAAGAAAATTCACTGAAACCACTCTGAAAGCACATCCTTTATGTAATCATTTGTATATCTGCGTGTATTACCATAATGATAAAGTACCATTCATGAGGTTATATCTAGAGATATATTTATGTATTACCATACATTCATTTCCTATGGATATGCTCCTAAAATTAAATCCAAATATTTATGTATGGATAGGTATTTGAACACTCACAAATATGAATCCAGAAAGTCATCCAGCTGTATCATTTTTAACTAGAATGAACATTATTTTGTAGTAGTGTTGAGCCATAATCAGACATAAGTTTGCATTGTCTAGAATTTCTTTAAAGCAAAATGAAAATACTAGAATTAGGATTGCAAAGGTATGATCTAATGATACCAAGTCCTGTATTTTCATGATAAAAAAGCATTATTTCAGGAAAAGACAAGAAAATTTATCTTTAATATAACCACAATCTTATTTTAGTATTTTTATTTAATGCTTCTAAATAATATTTTCTTACAAGCTATTGGGCAACAAGTTGGATTATATGTAATAAAGGACTGTATGCACTAAATTGCGTGCAAAAGATAAGTGTTTCAATCTCATAAATCGTTCAATTTATGTTAGAAATTCTGCAAATTAGTTTTTGGACTATTGTAAAGAAGCTTTCATCTCCTTCTTGACAATGCTAAGGTTTATGGGTTTTATTTAAAGATTAAATAGGAATGGTAATATCCCAACAACCTGAATTTGTACCCATATTAATGCATCTGCAATGCATAAATATGAAATGTACAGAGTTCTCAATAAAAGAACTAGTATATAAATGCAGCTTCTACTTGTTCTTAGGTACCATCTGTTACATTCATAAGCAATAAACAATCTGGATCTTATACTAAAAACATTGATATAAAAATGTATGCAAAAGAATATAGATATATAAAATATCTTTGAAATCTATTGGAAAAATGTATAGCTATAGTAAAAATTGCTTATGAATTAATATTGAGAATTAACTTTCCAGAAATTGATATAAAGTTCCTAAACCACAATCCATTCCTCATTTTCTGTTTTGAATAAAACATCCTTTTCCAATGTATAAAAAACAGAAACAATGAAAACTTTTCTTAAGAAAATGAAGTAAAAAACTCCCCAAACAATTATTAATAGTCACTTTTGAAACATTGGCAAATTTGTATGGATGTGGAATTCTAAATAGAGACAAACGGCTTTTTCCATGCATTTGGGAGCAGTTGGAAGCATCTAACTACATTTTCATGATTCACTTTATACTTAAATATTAATTCAAACAACAGAGAAGAAAATAAGCATTGCAGAAAAAAAAGGCTCTAAATTTTAAAAACTCACCTACCCCAAATCCAAGGTTTTATTAAATAACTTGTTCATTAAACATAACATTATTTTCTACCTCCTTCCCCTTGTTGCACCCCACCCCCCATTGGTCCCATTTACTCTACCATTATATATTTTGAAACATAAGGGGATTGTTTGAGGAAGGGGAGGGACACAACCCTCTTCTGTTGATATACGCCATTTGACAGCAAGAATAACTAACTGGACTTGATGTAAAAAAATTGTTTAATCCTAATCATAAGAATAATGCCATAAATAGTTTTATGGGAAAAAGACACTTAGTAAAAATGTGATGGGTCTCAAATAATTACTCCAAAAGTGAAAGAACAAGTCTGTACAGATAGTTTTGCAGAAATCTATTTGTTCTTATTTGGACTTATTTACATATTTGGATTAAGCATCACCCTTCATTGCAGCTTTATACATATATTCATACTTAAATTCTCACTGAAACTTACGAATATAAATGATTATCTCTTAAATATACATTTAGCTTATTACAGTACTTTATGTTAAACATTCTTACACCATGAATTTATATATCAGGTTTCTAAATAGTGGTCAACCACTATTTAGTTTGGAAAGGGTAACTCATAAATAAGAATTCAAAAGCATTTTGCACAAAAAATAGAGAATGGCATTATAGTTCTTACGGAACTTTAAGAAAGCATTTTTTTTCTACAACCAATTATGTCAGAGTTCAAGAATGGTGTGTGTGTGTGTGTGTGTGTGTGTGTGTGTGTGTGTGTGAGTGAAAGAGAGAGAGAGAGAGAGAGAGAGAGAGAGAGAGAGAGAGAGAGAGAATGAAGACAAAGCTAACCCCTCCTAATGTATATGTTCTATCTCAGTCAAGTAATCACTTAACCATCCAGAGATGACACTATGTGATCTTGTTTTTAATATTTTATGCTCCCCAAATACACTTGATCAGTTGATTCATTTTCCTTTATCATTTCTTTTTATCACATTCTGATCACAAAATATTCCAGATTAATACTTTAATTGGATAATATGCAGTTCCTCATTTAACAGAATTCTGCTGCAGATTAGATCAGAATCTGACTGAATTGGAATGTCACACACAACAGAACATAGTTCCTGCCTAATCACTGCAAGCCCTCTAAGGTGTGAGAGGAAATAGCTACAGTGGTATTTTACTAAACCAGATGGGTTTGGAGAACATTTATTTCTATCACCATCAAACTGGATTTATACATAAAGACACACTAAAATAACACGAACAGCAGATGCCTATTGAGGAAGGGGAAAGGGGGAAAAGTGTGATTAGACTGACAGCAGTATGTAGAAAATGGTGTTGCATAGTTGAAGAATTATGAATAAAAGGTTTAGATCACCAATACTTTTTTGTTTTTATCTGTACAATGGTTTACTTTTAGAGTTATTGAAAATTAACAACTTTTTACAAAAGGCCTCTTTGTGTTCAATACAGTATAGTATGTTTAAAGTGCTTTCCTCTTCAATCCATCCAAGTCTATTGCTTTAATAGGTCTTTCAAGACTGCACCTGCACTAGCATCGGGTGCTACTGGCATTGGGGTGAAGGTAGGCAAGGCATCTGAAATGGGTTTCATAAGCAGATGCCCAGATCCGCTTGTTCCAAGATTAGCTGGAGAGATGAGTGGGACTGCTGCTGATCGAGGCGCAAGGAATGGATTTACATCTGGTCTTCGACTGGTTCCTGAGCCTGTTGCATTTAATACAAAACACAGTAATGCAATTAATTATTCAACAACAAGACATTCTTCACAATTGTTATGTTTTCTGTTTACAACTCCATATGCTGTTCTTTTATCCACCGCAAGACCATATGTGAGATATCAACTAAATAAATAATAATGTGTCATTAATGTCTACATGTTAAATCTTTAGAAATGATTATGTGGACATCAATAACACATTATTATTTATTTAGTTTATATCTCACATTTCCGTTTGAGTATTGAGAATGGTATGCAAAATATAAAGAAATAAATGCAAAATGATAACACATAAAATTATAAATTTTACAATAAATTAACTGGGGGGAAAAAAAGAAGAAACACCTTTAAAGATTTTCCAAGCACTAAAAATATGAGGGTCAAAAACAATGTACACTTCATACACATATACGGGCAAATCCATAATAAAGTAATTTTTTTCCATTTTTTGCAGCTATTTGAAGCATATAACTAAATGAAATACAGAAAATGAATAAAATAATGAATAATGAAAATGTGAATTAAAAAAAGTGAATTAACAACAAAAGTATCATTAAAAATATAATCCTATAAAATTTCACTATGAAAATAAATTGCAACTGTAAGCTGAGACCTGGTAAAAAATGTAAAGATAACGTTACACGCTTCTGGTTATTCTATCACTATGAAATTGATGAAAAATTGAATGTATAATGATGCTGATAGTTAACACGAAACTTACATTGGCCAACAATTTAATTTTGGACTTCTGTCTGAATCCTTGTTTCTCTAGATATTTTGAAACTAGTCATTTATGTTTCTGGAATCAGCACATTTTCATATCAAAATTATTTATTACACAATGCCATTAAGAGAGCCAAAACAATCAGAGGGGTTTTTTATGTTGCATTCTCTCTGTCCATTTTCTGGTCCAAATGCCCCACCAATGAAACCAAGTCAGTTTTCCAGTCTCAAAGTGCAATAACATTTATTGTTCCAAAGGTGCTTTTTGAAGCAGAAACTGGACTTTCTGGTTTTTCTTTGAAGATATTTCACTTCTTCAGAACTGAAGAAACTTCTTGGATGAGACGTGAAATCTTACTACCCAATGTATATATGGTATTTTACAGGCAAATTCATTTGTTTTCACTCTGAGTCCTGTATACCCAGGTTTACCACTGAGGCCTTTAGCTTTGCTTTCTCCAAAAAATCTGAACAGAAACATTGTTTTCCTTAAAACAAACAGAATTCACAAACACCAGTCACAAATCTTCCATTCATAGAAATTGATATGAGAAATGGATTTGTGGCTGCCAATCTACTGTTAATATAAAAAGCAATCCATTATCCAAACAATTAAGGGGTAGAGAGTATATGTCTGGTTCTATAAGGCAACAATCCAATTCCTGGAATAGAACTTGTCTTTTCAAAGATTTAGCCAGACAAGAAAACTGGGTGATTGCCAAGCAAAAGAGGGCACTTTCACTATTATACTAACAGTAACAAGAGAACAAAAGGAATATAAAACATAAATGACTGAAAATACAAACTTTCAAGATAAGGTTTCAGACTGGAAATCTTTCAAGTTTACTACAGTAATTTAAAGCCAACATTCACAAGTGCTAAACTTTAGCAACTCTGCAGCAAGCAATGTTCCTTTTATAGGGACAAACTTTTAATGTCACTTCAAAAACCATATTCAATACCCCATGTATTATTTTGCTGCCTTTGAAATGCTGATCGTAATTCACGATACTGTAATAAAAATATTAAAGAATCAGAAAATCCATTTATAATCATTGATTTGTTATTATGAGATGATTCTGTAAGCTGGTAACACACTAAGTACAGGTATAAAAAATTGCCATATTAGCATGTCTAAATCTACCCACATTTCCCCTTATGCTCTGCAACCATTTATATAAATACAGTCTTGAAAATCCAATAAACATTATAAAATTCAATATAATATAACATTTATGAAAATGGGAGACATTACCTGCCACGTTGCTGGAAGGATTAGCCATTCCTAAAGGCTTCATGTTATCAAGAGAAAGTTTTGGTGGGGGGAGAGTTGGGCGTGATTCTGTTTCAAGGAACTTCACAAACAGTTCTGAGAAAGACTGAAAAGATGATTGCAATTAAAGTACTGCAAACAGTTTAGGAAAGACATGATATGTTTCACTTATCAATTCAAGATGTGTTGATTAAGAATTTGACACCTTCACTAAAATTTTCACAACTTGGTAGCTGATTCCTAGGTATCAATCAAGTTCTTGGATCATCTGAAGGCCAATGCCCCCAAAATATCCTTAATTTATCAAGTTGTCTATCAGTATATTCATTTGAAAGGAAGATAACCTGAGTTTATGATATTCCCCCTCTATTCAATACTTGAGTCTCTTTCCAGATTTTCAGTTAACCTACAAATATCACCAATTCTAAAAGTATATTATTTTGGGAATAATATTTCAATTTAATTCAGCATGATTCCAGAGCCTATGAACAGAAAATCAAAACCAGTTGAGATTCTCATTTAAAAAAAAATAAAAATAAAAACCAACAGACATTAAGAAGGAAGTTCTTGAGCAAAATCCTGAATGAATTGTATATAACAAAAAAATATCAGCAATGTATTTTTCCCCAAAGAAAAAACAACTAAACAGGAGAAAGACTGCAAAAAGTGAATAAGTTGAAAATAAGTTGATTTGAAATAGAAAAATAAAAATATCAACGTAGACCTTCAACCCTTAAAAATCTAAGCGTAATGGCTCAAACACCAGCTTTTACAACATTAAAATGTTCTACATTTTCTATAGAGGAATCACTTAACACACTTACACTGTTGAAAATTGATTGTTGGCTTGGTCTGAGAGGTGTATTGGGGACACTTTTGGATTCAGCAGCTCTTCCACCAAACCAACCTGTCACCCATTTTGTAACACCTTTGTGATCTTCAGTCAGCAACTAAACAGCAATTTAAATCAAAAGGAAAAGTTCAAACTGGCTATTTTTCAAGTAGAGTATCAGACTTTTCTTCTTCATTATTTACTAGAAAAAAACAATTCATGCTTAAATACTACATTGCTTTAAGATTGCAAAATCTACTCTCCCACATAGAATACTTAGCTGTTGTTCTCCCATTCTTATCAGGATCTACAGCTAGAAAGTGGAAGATCTTTTGTCTCAAACTACTTTTTTCTTCTTCTCACTAATGATTAAATTGAAAATGTGTGGCAATGGATTCATTAGGTTTAGCCCAGCATTTAAATAAGAATAATAGATTATTGATATTTAAATACAAAAAACAAAAAAGAGAAAAATTACCTGCTCCAGTTCATCCTTTTTTATTCCAAGGATACTTCCCATTAGCTTTAGTACCTCATGACGCTTATTCTTTGGAGTATGAAAATGCCCAATGAAAAGATTTCGCATCAAGACTCTATTAAAATGAAGATAAAACAAATATAACTAAAAATGGCTTAATTCTGAGAAAAGAAGTGGGGGGCGTATACAATATGTATTTTGCCATGATTGTGTATCTCTCTCCTAATGCTATTTTTAAATAACAAGGAATACATGTTATAATGTGGAGGCAGTTTAAGAGGAGAGGAGAGAAAGGGAATAGAAAGGATTTCTAAATAAGAGATTTGAACGTGGATTTATTTGAAAGCAATTTTGACCCTGATTGGGAATGAAGGATGAAGATTATGTATTCTCCTATTCTGTGTCAAGCACAGAACTGAAGCAGTGCATATGCTATTCTTTCCTTCTTGTATACTGTAGCCTATATGATGCACATTATTTCAAGAGGAAATTATTCATATGCAATTGACTTTGTGATAGAAGAGCCTGCTTTGTGTCATAAGATTATACTCTAAGCTTAACTCATCTTTTCTGTGCCAGTGATAATGTATTAGCCTGGGGGAAAATATGTGAAGAAAAAGCAAGTTTATCCCACTTCCACTAAAATTAACAGCTTTCATGGACTTCCATGCAGAGCTTTTCATATATTTACTAGTAACAAACATCACATTTGATATGAAAATTATGTAGGAACCCAACAGCCTAGAATTGATGATGTGTGCCCTGTGCTTTCTCAACCATCTTAATACAGACATCATCACTGTGGTATTACAGAGTAACATGTAATCATGAGTAATGACACCCAATTATTTTGCTGATTGATTTTTGTCAGTTAATCAAGTTTATGTAAAAGTAGTCATTATGGAAGAAAATAACATATGTCCAAATAATCTGATCCAGATAACAAAAAGTTAAACTAATATATTTAATGCTAAATAACTTTCTGAGAGAATGATCCTTAAAAGATCATGACAGGATTAGCATATGCCACTAATAAGCCAGAAATCACAAAAGTTCTATTCTGAGAACCAGCACAAGACCGCAGAAATAAAATACAGCTAATTTTTAAATCCTCTGTATTAATTAAAGCTGCAGTGTTTTATTTCTTCAACTAATCAAACTATTTATAGTTAACTTTCTTAAATTTTTCCTATTAGTAAAACATTACATTGAAGGAAAATGTCCTCTGTTTTTCTGTTTAAATTATTGTCACCCCTCCCATTAAGAGCACTTTAATTAATTGGACATATTGAATAATGTATTTAATAATGTATAATATTTAAAGACCATTTAAAAATTAGTTCTGTTTTATTTTTACAAACTTGTGCTGGCTCTCAAAGTAAAGAATTTAAATTTACAAGTAAAATACAATGTGGAAAAACAAATACTCACTTATCTACTTTTCCTTCAGTACTATTTATGAGGTTCATTAATTTATTTTGCACATCCTCCAACATTTCTTGTTTGATTGCACCTAGAGAAATAAGTTACATTTACTGTATTAAGTAAGACATACAGAAAAAGAGATGCATTAATTGAGTCTCCAGCAGGATTTCTTTAAAAGAAATGAGATATGCGAAAAAAGTAAAAGCTATCATATACAAGCATATTTTACAATTTCTATTACAGTAATTGTTTTTATTATCTTAGATTTGTTTTTGTGCTATGTTTTTCACTGTCTAGAATCTGTCAGATTCTGTTAAACAGCAGGGTACACATTCAAAATTCGAGATGATGAAACAGTTCAGCTTTGGTTAAATTAACTAAAATTGAGAAAATTAATTTCCCTCCATAAAAAATGTGATTCTGATTAAATACATCAGTGATGTTGAAATTGTCTTCTTTCCCCTTTCCATGTGCACCTCCAATTTCTTCCAGATGGTACCCAATGTCACAAGTAGATATAACCCATTCCCTATCAATTCTTCCCTGGAGAATTGTCCTTGAGAAGATAGATTAAAAACACTGGCAAATGTTGGCAGCATTAAATAAAACTGCATGAAGCAAGCGAGGCTTATTAACAATCTCATAAATTGTAGAATAAAAAGTTTGCAGATCTAATAAAGTCGTTAAAAAAGAAAACTATTGTAAACCCCATAACTATAAAGCTGATGTGGTCAAGGGGTAACATACTTATTTCACAAACAGTATATTAAAATAGTGGCAAGAGTGCATCATTGGAATACCAGGTTAAGGACAGGCTGTCATGGGGAAAATGCCATCGCTAAAAGTCAAATGACACATTATCAAAGAGATGAAAGAGCTGTAGAGTCCCAACTGAGCTCCAAACAAGTCTAGTTGACAATACCTCCAGTGCAGCAGTATAAATAATGCATCTCTAGAATAGTAAAAGACTTAGACTTGTAGTTGACTCCTGTAAATTTTGGATAATACAATTCTATACACACTCTATGCTTATCAGGTAAATTAATCAGATCAATAGGTATCTGTTTCCCTCAATTGCACATGATGAAATTCAGAAATTGATATAATACTTTATTAATGGGGATAAGTTAGACAGGACTAAATTTCAAAACTTCTGTTGACCCAGACACTTAAAATATTGTCTTTCAATTTGTTAACCATTTATGGAAATTCAAAAACCTAAATCTAGTATGTCTTTTGTTTTTCCACAATTGTAATATCTGGTGCCAAAATAATCAATTTAAAAATCCTTCAGCAGCTTAGGCCAAGAAAACCTTGTCTAGGAATGTATCTGGCCACTATTCAACACGACATTATGTTTTCTTGTGCAAATAATAGCCTTTGAATAAAGTCTTCATTACTTGAGAAAAGGAAAAAGTAGACTAATTAAAGGTAAGATTTGATAGATATTAACCTCCAATCATTGTCATGACCTTTAACTGGGCAAAACGGTGCATCATAGAGTAACAATTTCTGAACCAAAATACCATAAATGGATTAGAGAATATGTCCAAAATACGGGAACCACAATTCCCAAAGGAATGAAATTTGGGAAAGTTGTGGCTGCTTCAGTGCTATTGGCTGTTGCTGTGGTCATTTGATCTTTATTTTCAATGAATGAAGCTACATATACGTGTCCCAGGATAATGTTGCAGGATCCAATATGAATTGGTCAGCAGAACCAAATATTTATTCTTCTAAGCTCTGGACTCATGCTTGAGCTGACCATCAGGGAAATAGTCTCTCCAGAATATGTGCAAATAGAGCTGCCCAGTACACATGTTCTGGAGAGACAGAAGTTCCCTGATGATGGGCTCCAGCATGAGCCCGAAAGCTTGGAAGAATAAATGTTTGGTCCTGGTGACCATCTGAGATTGGGTCCTTCATTTCAATGTTCCTTGATAGTTTCCCAGCCTCACAATTCCTTGCTCCCTCAACCTATCCAGGATCAGCCACTTACCTGCCTGCTGGCAACTGATTCCCACTAGGAAACTCAATGGAGAAGTTGGCAGGAACTACCATCTTCTGCTCCCACTGTTGTTGTTTTTTTGCCTGTCCTTGCTGATTGTTTCTCTGTTTAGGTAAGGTCATATCTCTGAAACAATCCCCATTAGGGCACTGTTTCTCTAGTATATTTTAATAGCTTTGAAGCTATCAACGAACAAGCTAGATGGAGTATTATTCTTCCTTTGTCTATTACACAGTAATTTACTGAAATATTTTTGCAAATTTCCTTCTCCTATACAATGCAAAGTTATGGCACATCTCTGTGGGATAAGCTTGTCCTGTGCCCTGAATATCTGGGTATTCAAAAGCAGCACTTGCCTTTTTCCTTAGGGCCAATGACTTCCTTACAGAATAGAATAGCTCAACTGCGTTGAGAATGGCCAGCCTCTGAGTTCAGGCACACGTTCTGCTTGCTGCAGCACAAAGTTGCTTCACTGCTTCATTTGCAGAAGACATAACATCATAATGTTACCTCCATTTCATTGTAACACTATTGTTGAGACAGGCTGAATGTGCTTTAAATGTTCCTTCTTATTCCAACACAAGGCAATATAAGGTGTATAAAAGGGGAGCCTCGTTACATCCATGTCAGTGATCTGATCATCTCGAACTGGCTTGGTAGTCTGCTACAGAACACTCCCTCCTGCCCAACTGCTGGGCCAGACATCTGTTCTGTGGTATCGCTTTGAGAAGGAAATCCCAGCCACTTTATTTGCTGAAAATATTGACATACTGATCTACAAATCTCAGAGTAAGATTTGATACAGCAAAGAATATCCCATAACTTAAAATACGTTGTGCGTGTCAATTACAAGAGGGCAATTCAAAGGTAAAACAATGGGCATGAAGCACAGTGAAACTTGGCTGCAGGATATACTATGTGCTTTACGTGCTAATATCCTATTAAAGTACAAACTGAAAACACACAGCTGGAATTTAGGGCAATGTTTATGCAATTAAGCAATAAACATCACAGTTTCTCGTGCAGTGGTTGCTGATCTCATGTGGCCAAATCCCAAATTGTTCCACATCCTCAACTACAGACCACAAACACTATTCTCACATCTAATGATCAAAGCAGCTGTGCATAAGGTGAAATAGTATCTTTCTCAGTATAACCCAGAAACAGTTTTTACCGGCTTTGAACTGATTCTGATAAAGTACTTCGATTTTATTTACTTTTCTAACTAGAAGTAACTGTTTTCTTTAAAGGACAGTAAACAAACAAAACAGTTAATGCTTTTGAGAGCAAGTAATGATGAAAATGCAATCTGGCTTTTTGAGTGCTGTTCTTTCTCCTGAAAATACTCTCCTTTTGGATTGACAGAATTGGCATTCAGAAAATTAGCATAATAATGAATGATTGCCATGAGAGAAGAGCTTTAAGACATATTTATTTTATAAAAAATATTCCCATAAAGAGAATTTCGGTTACACTTTATTAAAATAGAAGTCCACATGAGTATATTGAAATTGTACTATTAACAAACAATCTCCATTTGACTCATGCAAAATAAGTTAGTCTGCACAGCTATTCTTACATATATATTTGCAATACTAAGATAAACAGAATTGGCTTCATTTTTGAAAAAAAATGTTTCTCTTGGCAAATCTTTCTACCGTCTGGCCAAGATGTAAATAAAATATATTATGACAACATTTATCAACACATCAGTATATTTAGTCCAAAAATAAGGAGGCAAAGTTGAAAGCAAATGTTCAAGTGGATTCACTATATTAGTATAGTCGAGGGTCTGTTTGAAATGGTTGTTTTTTAGTCCAGAAGTTCATATTTTCTGAATAGAAAAGCTACCCAGTACAGTTTCTTCTCAAGGAAAGGAGATATTGATACATATTTCATTGTATCAATATAACACTTGTAACATTTTAGCAGTTGTGGACCCCATTTGGCCCTACCACATCTCTCTCAACTTCAAATCCAGTTGTTTAACCAGGATGGCCAATAATGACAGATGCTGGAAAATAAATTCAGAAACATATGGAAGGCAACAGGCTGCCTACCCAACTTTAAATTAATGATAGCACTTCATGTAGCAGGAATCAATATTAATAGGGTCTTTTCAATTTCTGAAAGAAGTATGTAGAGCTTTCATGGAGGTAGAATATATCTCCTGACAGAGGATGTAACGGGAACATAGATTAAACAGCACCGTGGCACAAGCTGAATGAATCACAATAAACCAAGCAAACACCTACCTGTAGCAATATTCTTGGTTCTTATCTGCCCAATGAAGAAATTAAATATTTGTATTTGGAATAGATAAAAAAAGGGGGAAACAGAGATTTACTATTTGATGAAATATTATTGCTGAGAAATTGTTGGCGTTTGATCAGATTATATTCAGGAATGGGCTTCAAAAAATTTAGTAACTGGTTCTCTGCCCGGTTGCTGGGTGGACGTGGCTATGGTGGGCATGGTCTAGTTGGCCTGCTGTACCATGGTGCTGTTGGGGGGCGTTTTTGCCCTCCTCGGGCTCTGGAAGCTTTCCTTGAGCCTCCAGGAGGGCAAAAACCACCTCCCTGGGCTCTGGAGGCTCTCTGGAGGCCGGAAATGGGCCTGTTTCCAGCCTTCCAGAACTTCTGGGAGGTATGTTTTTCGCCCTCCCCAGGCTCCAGAGGCTTTCCTTGAGCCTCTGGGAGGGCAATAATGGCTCCCCGGGCTCCAGAGGCTCTCTGGAGTCTCCGGGAGGCCTGTTTTTTGCCCTCCCTGAGCCCCCCTGAGTCTCCACGTGCGTCCTGAACTTATGTGGGATCCAAAACAGGCCACGTGGGGACTCCTGAGAGGGCAGGATGGGGTGAGTGAGGCCATCCAGGAGTGGGATTTGTCAGTTTGCCGAACCAGCCATAAAATTAACAACCGGTTCGCCCAAACTGGAGAGAACCAGTAGCAGCCCACCCATTATTATATTCCTCACAAAGGAACTTTCCCAATCCAATTTTCTTACAAGGACAAAATGTCTTAATTTTAATGATCAATAGAATTTCTATGCAGTATAGAATTAAGGAAATTATTTTATCTTACTTGTTGTTTTGGAAGTTTTCTAATAAAAATAAACAGCGTCCACAAAATACATGTAATTTTCTAATGGTGTTCAGAGAAAAGTTAGCAATCAAAAAGAGTATTTTTATTTTCTGTTAATGTATTCATCAAAGTATATGGAAATAATTCAATTGTACGTCCTCAAGATACAGGAAGATCTTGACAGACTTGAACACTGGACCCTAGCTAACAAAATGAAATTCAGTGATGAAATAGTAAGCTTCTACATTTAGACAAGAAAAACCAAATACATAGAATAGGTGGTACTTGGCTCAATAATAGTAACTGCAGGAGAGACCTTGGAGTCTCAGTGGACAATCACTTAAATATGAGCTAGCAGTGTGCTGCAGCTGTCAAAGAGGCCAACACAGCCTTAGGCTACATTAACAGAGGGATAGAACCAAGATCACGAGAAGTGTAATATCACTTTATAATGCCCTGGTAAGACTATATTTGGAATATTGCATCCAGTTTTAATTGCCATGACATAAAAAGAGGTTGAGACTCTAGAAAGAGTGCAGAAAAAAGCAACAAAGATGATTTTGGGAATAGAGGCTAAAACATGTGAAGAATGGTTCCAGGAATTAGGTATCTCTAGTTTAATTAAAAGAAGGACTGGGTGACATTATAGCAGTCTTCCAATATCTAAAGGGCTGCCACAGAGAAGAGGGGGTCAACCTATTCTCCACAGTACTTGAAGGCAGAACAAGAAGCAATGGAAGGAAACTAATCAAGAAGAGAACTGAGAACAATTTTACTAACAGTGAAAACAATTAAACAGTTGAATAGCTTGTCTTTAGAAGTTGTGGATTCTCCAATATTGGAGGTTGGACAACCATTTGTCTGAAATGTTATAGGATTTCCTGATTGAGCAGGGGTTTCTATTAGAAGACCTCCACTCTGTTGGAACGTTAAATTAAACTGTCAAAATGTGTCTTATTCTGATTCTAGAATTACCTGGAGTAAGAACAACCTGCAGCATACTGTGGTCATGATCAGCGAATCCACTACTAATGAAGGAAGAAATAATTGTACAAACACAAAGGAGCTACTTCCTTTTTCTTTTTTTACATTAATTATAGAAAGTAAAATGACTTTTAAAGAGGAAGATTCAGTCACAACTATACGCTAACTTTTAATCTTAGTAAAATAGAAGATAATTTACATACTAGTGCTTTGCTTGCAAATTTTTAAAAATAATCTTGTTACCTTGTCTTTTAAGTTCTTCAATTTGTTCTTCTTTCAGATCTAGTTGCTCTGTTAATCTTGATGCAGAACCTAGAGCTTCGTTTGCTTCATCCAACCTTTCCTGTATGATGAGGTGGCTTGTTAAAGTAAGTTTACCATGGTTATCAGAGCTAACAAAAATATCTTATATTTCATTTGTATGGATCACACATAAACACATATATTAATTTTATTAAAGTCAAACTTTTTATAGACAATAAATGCAAGAGAGCAGTGAGACATTTATATTCTTCTCACAAATTCTTTCAGATACTTTTTACTCTTATCTATTTAAATCTGTCCTCTAGCATCTTGCTTCCTAAAGGGGTGCTTAAATGTTTATGAGCCCCTTTGAATTTTCAATTTTTCTCTATAAATATGTAGATTAAAATAGAATTTTTGGGCTGGAATGATGTTAACAAAAGGAAACACCACTTTCCAGCGTAATAAAGTTATTATGCTCATCTGTGAAGCCTGGTAGTCAGCGTATTATATTTTGGGCCTAATTTGCTGCCTCTGGATCAGGACAACTTGCCACTATTAATGGAATTCTGAATTGTACCAACAAATTCTATAGGAAAATGTCAGAGTATACCTGTCTGTGAAAGTGGGTCATGCAGCAAGGCAACAACTCAAACATGCAAGCTGTATGATTCAAGAATGGCTAAAGCAGAAAAAAAGTTAATATTTTGGAATGGCCAAGTCAAAGCCCTAACCTTAATCCTATAGAAATGTTAGCGAAGGACTCAAAGCAGGCAGTTCATGCAAAAAAGCCCATCAACATATCTGAGTTAAACTGCTCTGTAAGGAGAAATGGGCTGAAATTCCTTCAAACTGATGTGCTGAACTGATCAACAGCTATTGGAAACATATAGTCAGTTATTGCTGCCCAAGGGGGCCATACCAGTTACTGAAAGCAAAATCATACTTTAGCCACACACAAATATGTACATTTAGATCAGTTTCCTCCATAAATAAATGAACAAGTATAGTGCTTTTGGTATATTTGTTTAACTGGGTTGTCTTTATATAGTGTAGAGACTTGTAGACTTGTGTAGAGAACGGATCATATTTTAGGTTGTATTTGTGCAGAAATATTAAAAATTAAAAAAGGTTTGCCCATTTTAAGTACCACTGTACAACAACTGTTACTGCTCCTTCAGATTTTCTGATTCTTTTTCTTTACTGAGTCAGTTTGAATAAATAAGCTGAGCTAGAGAATCATTCAACTTACTTGCAACAAAACCACTTGGTCTTCTAGCTGCTCTGCTTTCTTCTTCCAATCTGCAGTCTGCTTTTGGGCTTTTTGTAACTCAGCTGAATACATGGCTTTCTCTTCTAAAGTTAAAATATGCTTATTTAGCTCTTTAACACACATTCATCATTAAAATCAGATATTGAGAGAACAGCTTGTTCAATAGCTTTAGTGTCACCAAAACAGTATACAGGGTTAACCATGGAAGTCCTTTTTCCAGAATGAAGCCAGGGAATTCTGAAATGGAACATACCATAGCTGTCCCGTTTTGTGTGTGTGTGTGTGTGTGTGTGATATCAGACTCTGAGGAGGAGGAGGAGGCTGGTTTTCTGCTGGAGTATTTTCTGAAGTACATTCCTAGCAAAAGATATTTTGGCCAAGAGTTAATCTTATAGAGCTATATAAGGAATGGCACAAATACCAGATGGCAATCCTACAAATGTTTCCCGGGAGAGTCAATAATGCCAAGGGGAGCCAAGCTGGTTGGGCCATTTTGTCAGCAGTGCAACCATCTTGCCAGTCAGGGATATGATTAAATCAAACAGATAATCCTAACATCCTTAAAACTTTTCATCATCAGCATGTGTGAACTCATTTTAGCCTTCCTAAACCAAGGAAGAACTTTGCATCCAGCATGTCCAAGTGGGGTCCTGTGGGAAAATAAGGTTGGTTTCAGGCCTAAGTTCTCAGACTTCTCTGAGTGGAATGAGGTGTGTGTGTGTGTGTGTGTGTGTGTGTGTGTATTGGGGGAGGGTAGGTGTCCTTTCCTCTACTAAGTGACTTTTTTCCTTTCCTACAATCTTCACTTCTACAGCAGGAGTCATGAGAAAACTTCTAAAAGGTAAAAGACACACAGGAAGGATTGGTGTGATTTTTTTCCTTACTTCCTCTTTGCTTGCTCCCTCTGTCTACAGGTCCCAAGACAGGACATCCTGCTTTTCTAGTTTCTGTCAAGAGTGTGTGGATACAGGGGCGGACCTACTCTGATATTACCACCCTATTGTCTTCACTTCTTTGTTTTCTCTTCTTTGGAGAAGAGAAAGTCATTGATGCTTCAGAAGGGACTACAGGTAGTCCTTGACTTACAACCGATTGCTTTGTAACCGTTCAAAGTTATGATGGACATTCCCAGGGTTACTTACAATCCAGATTCAAAGTCCCTATAGCTACCACTCCCCTGGAGGTCATATGATTGCATTTTGGGCAACTAGACGTCATTTACAGGAAAATTTGACCACATTTTTGCCATCATTTACTTCCTTTTTCTGGCAATAAAAAAGTCCATGACAGATAATGGATTCATTTAACCACCTCTTAATAACTTAACCACAGTGGTTCATTTAATGCCTGCTGCAAAGAAGATAGCAAAATTGGTCATGTTCACCTGATGCCTTGCTTGACAACTGGCATGATTTAAGTCCATAATTCTGAACTCAAATATTTTAATAAGTTGAAGATTAATTGTACTGCCAGTTTGATGGCAAAGAGCCAGGAGGTGGTGGTGAAAAATGGGTGCCTTTGATTTACATTTCTTCTGGTGCCCAAGCCATGAAACATTTCAGTACTAATAAGAAGTACATGGTTTTTTTATTTATTTGACTTATATGGTTGCCAAATCAGAAAGAGTCAAAGTAATCTGTAACGTTTGACTTGGGAGTTTTAGTTTGATTGCCTTGTTCTGAAGGAATCAAAAGAGGGAGATAAGAGGAAATGACGCTGCAAAACTTTAAGGAATTCCTGGACAGTGTATTTTTGTCTTTACTTTGTTAGTCATTGACCTGAAGCTACCTTAAAGGAAGCCCAGAATAAAGGAAATGGAAGAAAACAAACAAACAAAACAAGCACAATCTGTAAGAAACATGAACTGTCCAGGTGGAGGTTTCACAGAGTTCACAATGTGTGTAATGTCCCCCAAAAAGGAAGGATTGGAACTAGAGGAGAAAGGCATCTCCTCCTATAGGAAGGAAGTTTTTCTCATCCTGCCCCCAGAGTGAATGGAAGGGAGTCTTCCATTTTAAAATGCCCCACTTCAGAACAAAATAGTAATAAAAGAGTATTACATTTTTAGATTACAAGGAAAGACAATCATGGCAATGTACACATTCAACTTACCCCGTTGAAATTGCTCTAGCACCATCTGCAGGTTTGTCAGGGATATGGCATACTGTTTAACTTGGTCTTGTGAAAGTGTTAGTTGAAGCATAGTCTCATCTCTTTGTGCCGTAACAAGGTTCAATTGTTCTTGCAGAGATTCCACCTGCATGTTTGCCTGATGGCTTCAAATAAAACATAAATATTTAGAAATACTAAATTTTATTTCCGATTTCTGTTATCTTTTATTCCACATGTGCATTGTTAAAGCTTTTGGGGATGGGCCTTTATTATACTCTGCCAAGAGTCCATTATGACTGGGCCAAGTAATGTTTCTTGTATCCATTTTTTAAATACATATCCATGCACACAGCAATTACTGAGGAGACCAAACTATTACCTGACATTTTCCACTACAGTTGATGAAGACTGAAGCTTTTCCTCCAAATCGCGGACTTTCTTTTTTAGCTTGGATTCCCGATCCTCAGCGGCTAAAGCTTCGCGTGTGGAGGTATCTTCCCTTTCCAAAAGATGATTACGTAACCTGTCTAGCTCTTGATTTAATCGCTGCTCCTTCTCACGTAAATACTGCACCTGTATATGATTGGAGAAATGTTCTTTCAGTTCCTTACGTTACTACCATCTATGCATCAACTCACTATTTTCTTGCACCCTTTATTTACCTCATTCTGTAGCGCGCTAGTCTCCATTTGTTTCTGTTTGAGGGCCAGCATGACTTGATCTCGCTCTTGCTGAAAGGCAACAGCTTTTTCATGCATTGACTTGGCTTCATTGAGCAGCTGGTTTAGTTCTCCTGTCTTCCCCTTTCACAAATAAAAATAACAAGCAGATTAAAGCTCTGGGATAGCACATCAAGACAAGCAGACATTGTTTGTTTGAACATATAGAAGATATAGTTCCAAAAAATGTGGCCACCCACCAATTTTATTTGCTGCTGTTGCCTGTGGAGCTTATGTGGATTCTTTTAAGTAAAATTGATTTGAGAGGCTGAAGTTTTGCATTATGCCAGCTTCCCATATATGTTGATTAATTAAAAGACCTTAAGAATATAAACAGAGCCCTGTGAGGAGTTGATCATCGTGATGATAATAAATAATATATAGTCCTTAAAAGAGTTCATTTAGACTGTTCAAAGTTACAATGGCATTGAAAAAAGTGACTTATGACCATTTTTCACACTTATGACCATTGCAGCATTCTCATGGTCATGTGATTTACATTTGGATGCTTGATAGCTGGTTTCTATTTATGATGGTTGCAGTGTCCCAAGGTCATGGGATCCCCTTTTTCAATCTGACAAGCAAATTTAATGGGGAAGCCAGATTCACTCCCCAACCACATTACTAACTTAACAACTGCAGTGATTCACTTAACAAACTGTGGCAAGAAAGGTCGTAAAATGGAGCAAAACTCATTTAACAAATCTCACTTAGCAACATAAATGTTGGGCTCAATTATAATCATAAGTTGAGGACTACCTGTATTAAATTTACATGTTACCTGACACCCAATGAAGGCCCATCTAAATTGGCCATTTTCTTTCTTCTATGGCCAACCAGAAAATAATTCAAGTCAGGTGGGCATTCCCAGGCCCCATTTTCCTTACTTATGCTCAGGGGAGGGGCTGCTTTCACTTTCCAAATTCAGCATAGGAAATAGGAATCCTACATCAGAGTTTAAATAACATGACATAAGTGCAGTCACATTTCCTCTCCTATGATTTTGATGCAGAAGAATTCAAACTCATTGCATACCTGTTCTCTTTCTTTCAACATCTTTTCAAACGTAAGTGCTTTCTCCTTCATGGAATTATGTTCAAATTCCTTCTCTCTTAACATTATTGAAAACTGCATGTTCGTCTCTTGTAGTGCTCGGAATTCTGTTTCTTTTTCCTGGCTTTTTGCTGCTATTCTGTCATTTTCTTCCTTCAATGTACGAACATCCATTTCTAAGATCAGCGTTCTCTCTTTCAGGTTAGTGACACTTTGCTTCAGTAGCTCATTTTCACTCTCTTTATTACTAAGATTTTCTCTCAGAGAAAGCAACTGGTCACCTTTTGATTTTATTAGCAGATCTTTTTCTTTGAGAGACATCTGTAAAATGTCAGATTTATCCTTTAACTGCTTTATTTCCAAGCTAAATTCCTGTTGACACTTTCTTTCGACCTCTGACGATGCAGCCATTGAATCAGACAGTCTCTGATTATTTTCTTGTAAAGTCTGGATAAGCAAATCCTTTTCCTGCAATGTTTTCTTCATGAATTCTAGTTCCTCATTTACTGATTTACACTCACTGTCAAACATCTGAGAAGAAGTATTACTGGGAACTTCTAATGGTTTTCCCTCAACAGAAGAATTTACTAATAGTGGTGGTGTTACCATATCAAGCTTTCCAAGAATTACATCCCGGGTATTATTAAGGTTTCCTATGCTCTGCTGAACTTGGGCTAATTCTTGAGTAAAGGTTTTTAACTTTTCCTCATTTTGTTCATAGCCCCGTATTAAGCCATTGTATTCTAGCTGTAGCTGGGAATTGTTTTCACTGTCAACTGAAATTTGTATCTGAAGTTTTTGTAGTTCTTCTTGGAGATGACCAGACTCATGTTGCATATTTTGAACAGTAGTCATTACTTGTTTCTTCCATTCTTCCATTTTCTTTACTTGCTGTTTCAGTGTGTCACGTTCCTGTAAAAGTTCCTCAAACTGATTACTATTAATTCCTTGTAACTCACTGCCTGAGTTTATACTGGAAGACTGCAGGACAGTTAATAAAGTTTGACATTTCTGACTTAAAGCATCAATCTCAATATCTTTCTCTCGGATGATACGGGATAAGTTCTTTATAGTTTCTCGAGACATATCATGACTGCTACTTTCAAATTCGCTGGATAGCTTTTGGTTTTCTTCTTGTAACTTTTTCATGGTTGATTCCTTAGCTGCAACAATATCCACTAATTTGTGATAGTCCGTTTTTAACTGACTGTTTTCTCTAGTTTTTTCACTAAGAACTGCTAGCACTTGTTCTCGTTCCATGGCATAGGTCTGTAATTGCTGTTGAAGGAAAATAACATCTTGCTTGTAAGATGGGGAGGAAACCGTTGCATGCAGTGCTTGTATTTCTAAGTTTTTTTCTTGAATGATCTGTGTAAGTTTGCCAACTTCATCTTTAGATAATTGGTCAATCTGTCTACTTAGTGAAACGTTCTTTTCATTCAGAAGCTTGATTTCCATTTCTCTCTCCTTAATGCCTTTTATCAGCCTTTCAATTTCAACCTTAGATAGGTCATGCTTCTCATTCCCATTTTCACCATTGAGTGTCTGAACTTTAGATTCCTGAAAAAGATCAGGAGGGTCTTGCTGAATTACCTTTCCTTGGTTGTTCAGTTGTGTTTTAATTTGTTCTACTGTCCTCTGTAGGCTTTTGATTTCTTCATCCTTCTCCATGCATACCTGCCTATGTACTACGTTCATTTGTTCATGCTGAAATTTTGATTCTTCGGTTTCCTTTTTGTATTCTTGTAGGGATTGCTGTAGTTGAGCCATTTTCAAATTCTGATCCTCAAATGTCTTTTTGTTTAATTTAATCTCTTCTTCCAGACTATTTTTAAGTATAGTTAATTGTGTTATTTCTGCTTCAAGCTCTGTGATGATATCCAATGTTTTGGGCTCAGCCAAAGGAGGGGACCTACTTTGTTGTTCTTTTAATCGCTCATTCTCTTCTTTCAAATGACTGGTCTCTTCTTTCATAGCTGAAAGACTTTTCTCCCTTTCCTCTAAATTCTGCTTCAGTGCCTCAGTTCTTTTCATATTCTCAATATAATCGTCATGTTGCTGCTCTAACTCAAAAGCTCTGATTTTAAATTTTTCAACAAAGACTTCTTTCTCTTTTATGAGCTCTGTCAGTTGTTTCTGGCCAGCTAAGCTAGTGGTTAACATCTCTTTAGTTTCTTCATGATCCATTTCCATCTGTTCAATGTTCCTTTTGAGATCTGCTATCTCAAACTCTTTGTCTTGAGAAAGTTTTACTAACCGTTCATGTTCATATTGTAATGCAGTGGTATCCATGTTACGTGCATTTGATAACTCCTCAATGGTCTGTTCATATTTATGAGCCTGCTCCAACAATCGTTTTTCAGATTGGTTTAATTCTCTTTCTAACTGTCCCTTCTCAAGTTTCAAAGCTTCCAGCATAGTATCTTTTTCAAAACCAATTTTACCCTTCTCACTATTAGCTATTTGCAACTGCTGTTTAAGTTCCTCACATGCTAAATGAAGTCTTCCCTTTTCTGTTTGAAGATTCATGATGGATTTCTCCAAATCTCTATTTATTAGTTTATTTTTAGAAATTTGCTGCTTCAGGTCTGATATTTCTTCTTCTCTTTCAGTGGCTGAATGATCTTGATAACTATCAGACTTCTGATGTATCTTGGTTAGTTCGTTTTTGAGAAGAGAACATTCTTCTTCTCTTTCAGTTAGATTTTTCTTTAATTCCATAATTTCCTGTTCATTTTTGAAGCTATAATGTTGGGATGTTTCAAGTTGTTCTTTTAACTCTTTTATTTTATTTTCCTGATATTGGTTAGTCATGTGCAAATCATTAAGGGCAAGTGAGCATTGATTCAATGCTTCTTTCTGGTTTTGCACCTCTTTGCTCATTTCCATTTTCTCTGCCTCCAACATAGATACTGTTTTTTCCGCAGATTTTACATCCAGTTTTAGCTGGCTGATAACTTCAGCAGCTTCTGCACTTTGTTTGACTAGTTGTTCCTTTAACATAATCATATGCTAAAATAAAATAAAAAAAATATTTTTATTTATGACATACAAGTAAAACTTTGAGTCAAAATACTCTTTATTTCACAATGTTTTCAAAGCATTGTATTTACGTTACTGTAAAGTACCAATAGCAATCCTGCATTTTACCACTTTTTTAACCAGGAAAACTTGCCTCCTCACTAGCAGAAGACTGACCTTCAGGGTTTCATTAATTCCCAAGTCACGATACTGACATTTTGCTGGGTATCCATCTTATTCAATCAGAGCAAGGGGAGGAAGCATTAGTTCAAGGAAATCTGTTAGGGGTTATATAGGGGGTGGGGACAAAGTCACAGTCAAAAATCGATGGAGTTATCTTTTTGCTTTTCCTCTTTCCAGTGTATCTTTTCACCTTTTCCTTTTTTTTTTTCAAAAATGCTAATTCTCCTGTTTCCAGGGGAAAAGTAGCTTATACTAGTCAAGAGGTCTGAATTAGAGGGTTTTTGAACTATTTTTTTTAAATAGTTAACCAAAAACTTTATAGTTTTGTTGCACGGATATTTAAACACAAAAGCACATATTTTGTAAATTATACAGTATTCCTGCCCCTCCCTTATATTTCTCACCTGGGTAGCTTCTTGGTTCTGCTTGTCCAGTTCTTCCAATTCTGCTATTAGAGTTTCTTTTTCAGCACTGCTTTCATTCAATTCATATTGCTTCTTTAGCATGTGTTCTAGCTGATTTTCCAAGTTCTGTCCTTTTATAGTACTAACAGGTTGCAAACTTCCCATTTCTTTGTTAACTTCTCCCTTAATTTAGACACAAAAAAGATCTTAAATTTAATAGGATAAAATCAATTTGAACATAATTGCTTAAAGACTTAATTTTTGTTTAAACAGCAAAGGGGTGATTACATTTTTAATTTTAGAAAGTTGCAGATGGACTCAGGGACAGGTAAGTTTGAAATAAGCTTTTGGAATTAATTATAAGAATCCTTTCTGTTGGAAAAACATGGTAGGAAGGGACTTAAGGTTAGACACTAGAGAGAAGTAGAAGGAACAAGATATTATAATTAAAGAAGAAGAATATTCTGTATACTGAAGGATAATTTTGAACAATGGACCTTTAATGTTGGACATATTTTTATATTACCTTTTACATAGTTACCTGATTTAATGTTTTCAATTTTGTTATTTCACTTTCTGCATCTGTAAAAATGTAAGCAGAAAGTTCATTGATACATAGAGAATTCAAGTTGTTAATAGAAGATTTCTTCAGATTTTATTTATTAAATTTATATGCCGCTCATCTCACTTTGAAAAGTGACTCTGGGCAGCTTACAATTAAAATTATAAATATAACAGATAGTACAAAGATTAACTACAAAGAGAAGCAAAAAAAAAAAAGGAAGACCAATAAGGCAGTAGCATCTTCTTAGTTAATCCACTAGCCACTTCCAACATGGAGCACTTCCATTAAGATCCCAGAGAGATCTCCCAAGCAGAGCCAAGTTTTATCTCCTTTCTGGAAAGCCAAAAGTATGGGAGCAAACTTCAACCCAGGCAGACCTCAAATATAAAGACATATTTCATAACGTGCAGGTTATGTGCACCACTCTAGGAGCAGCTAAAAATGGCCAGGCTGGAGGATTCTACATGACGTATATCTTCCAAACAGTCTTCATGGATAGGCCCCATTTGAGTGTCTTGCAATAGTCCAAAAGACAGATGAATAAGGCATGAATGGCTGAGTGCATGTTCTTATGATCCAGGAAAGGGTGCAAGCAAAAGAGTTGTAATTCCAGAAGGACGCCAGGTTGTGCAACTTTATCTAGAACTATAGATGAACCTCTCCAGCCATTCTCTCTTACCAGGATTCAGCTGAAGCCCTTTGTCCCCCATCCAGATCCCTACAAATTCCAGCACCATGGGGCAACTACAGCATCACTGGGGTCGCCCATGATGGAGATATATAGTTAAGCATCATCAGTGTACTTAAGATACCTCGTCCCATGGTGTCCAGTGCTCTCACCCAGTGGTTTCATATAGATACTAAAAAGAAGCAGAGCGAGTGCCAATCCTGCAGCACCCCACAAAGGACAATTCATGGGCTAGACCTCTTACCCCCTATCAACACTGACTGGGACCAGCCTTGGAGGAAGGAGCTGAATCAGCACAAAACTGCACCCCTCAAATGCCTCAGCTGATTCAAAAGAATACTATGGTCAATAGTACTGAAAGCCACCCAAAGGTCAAGGAGATCCAGGATGGATGTTCTACCCACATCCCACTCTTGCTGGAGATCATCTAGAATGCAACCAATATTGTTTCTGTCCCAAACTAATCAAACAGGCCTGAAACCCGACTGGAAGGTGTTCAGATAATCCATTTCATCCAGGATATCCTGGAGCTACAATGTGACCACCTTTTCTACCACTTTCCCAAAAAAGGGAAGGTGAGAAACTAGACGAAAAATTGTCCAGATAGGTGGTTGAGTGATGGTATCTTGAAATATACTGAGTAAAAGTAAAGCAACAATTAAATACAAGTCCATTTATTATCATATTTTGTATCATTTTGAAACAAATTGGGTTAGGAAGAAAAACAGCCAAAAGAACTGTTTTTCAATATAATAAAGTACAATAATACAAATAGGTGAATGGGTTTGGGTTTATTTATTTATTTTCTTAAACTTGTTTTTCTAGAAAGGCTTCATCATATCTCTTTAGGTATGAATGTTTTCCTCACATACAATACTTGGGCTAGGAATCAAAGAGCTGTATATGAATCGACCACTTTTCAGCTTTCTTCTTTGAGCAGCAGCTTCTAATGCTGAAAGAGGCACAGGAAACCACGAAAGGAAAGTACCAAAATTGAAATGAAGAAGCATTTGTGCATAAATCTCCAATCTTTGTTTCACGAAACCCTGTTCACATGCTAAAATACAACATATCATATGGTGAATTTGCAGTGTTTTCATACCAAGTAGTGCTTGTTGCAATCGTTCCACTTCAGCCTTCAACGATTCTTCTACAAAACTAGGGACTTCCTCTACTTTTACATCGTCTTGTTTTTCAGGAATAGATATTTGGAATTTACTGCATTCAGATTTTAGCCTTTCGTATTCTTCTCTTACTTGATTTTTCTCTTTTCTTACAAATTCAAGTTCTTTCAAGAGAATGTCTTTCTCTTCTTCTGCTGAAGACAATTGTTGACTTAAACTTTCCACTTTATTTTGTAAGTTACTCAGGTTTGGTGATTTTGATCCATTTTGTAGATCTTTTTCAGAAGACGCTTCAGTATTTCCATCAACTAAGCAAGGAAACATAAATTTATATTAGAACCCAGAAGCACTCTATAATAATGTTATAATTATCATATTGAGTACATAAATAAAAAAAAGTTAAAACATAAATAAAAATATTTTGTAAATTAAATATTTCTTAATTTCTTCTGCATAAATATTAACAATAAGTATTTTGCAAAGAATTTTTGTAGCATTTCTACTGGTACTGTCAAGTTTTATTTGTAGAAACTCACAGCCATGGTTTGGCTAAATTAAATTTTTTATTGCCAATGATAAGACACGTACTTGATTGCTTAATGCACTGCAAAAATGCCTGGATTGTATATATTCTCATAGTTTTAAGCTTTATTTCTCATGACCTACTGATTTAATGGATACTTTTCCATTAGTAGTTACAATGGATAGTAGTCATTATAAACACAGCAGGCACTCTGTGTTTATATAACATGGAGATGCGTTGCAAAGCTTTTCTGTTGGGTTTGCAAATATTGCTAATACTTGAAACAGACATAATGTAACTATATGCCCTGCATGCATATCTACATTACTTTTCCTCTTTAGCACTATAGAGAGAAACTATACAGAAAACAACAGATATCTTTAATATCTTTAATAGTATAAAATTGAGAATACATGAATATGAAGAACTAGGAAGTACCAACATCATTAATGCCATAAGAAAACAAAAAGAGAAATTAGTGGCAGAAGTCAGCCAAACAGAACAAAAGAATCAAGGTTTAGTATTTTCAAAACTTTCTTATTGATGCTATTTTTAGTATTTATGTCACAATGTTGCACTTTGGTTCTTAACAGGCAAAGCTTGTATCATAACATTATAATGGACATTTCATCATCCTGACAAAATCTTTGTTTGCTGCAAAAGTTCGTACGGTAGCATTAAGTCTCTGAATAATCCCGCCTGCAGAAATATTTCTAGCATTGGAAGTATAGTATTTCCAGCTTCAGGACTAGGCATATTTATATATCCAAGGATTTTAACTGGCCATACCATTTTACTAATTATAGCTAATGTTTCCTGTTTCACAAATTTTATAGTTACAGTTTTTCTTAAAAGTACTATACTGGTAAATTAGAAGGATTATGTCTATGAAGTATCATATTATCCGTTATGGGTGCTCAGCAGTCCAGAAATTATAAATTATATAAAGTACTACTTGGAATAAAATTACACTTGAAATCTGGTACTCTTTTTACGTGCTCAATATAGTAATAACTTTTTAAAAATTCTTTTAGAACTCTTAAGAACAAACAAAACCTTTCTGTAATTGATCCTCCAATTCTTCTATTCGTTCTTCATATTCACTTAGTTCTTCTCTATGACGTCGGCTTATCTCTGCTAATTTTTGATGATGTGCATCTTGCAATACTGAAAGCTCATGCTGGTGCTGATCTATTTCTTGGCTCAACTTCTGTTTCAGTTCCTAAAATGTGTAATTAATGAAAAGTAAAGTTCATGACTTGAAAGTTTAAAGTTCTTTATGGTTTTTAATTTTAAATTTAAAGTATAAAGTTCATTCTGGAGTACTTTATTCGTTAACAATGCAAAATATCTGAAGACTGATTCACTTACAAAGGAAAATATGGAACTTTTAGTAAAAAATGTCCATGAATGATTCGGAGGTTGTACCTTGTTAATTAAGGAGCACTCAAAAGATATAATGCAAATCATTGTTTTAATTCATAAGAAAGCATTATTTCTAAATATTTCAAGATGTATATTTATATTCATATGCAAGTATTTTATTCAAAATAACTTTAAAAAGCATTGATAAATGTCTGTGCATTAGAGGATTATCCTAAATTTGTAGTAACTCTATAAGGAGTGATGTCCTTATAAGGAAAAGAGGTGGGGTGTTGTTGTTTTTTACCTTGATAATATTTTGCAGCTTGCAGATTTCATTTTGATCTGTACTATTTTCTCCTTGAGGCTTAGAAAACTAAATGAGACAGTGGAGAAAAAAGATTTAAAATGCTGAAAGTGGTTTAGGCTTAAATAGTGTGCAGCAGCAACACGGCAGGATCTTAAGAAAATTATTCTTGAACAATGTTTAATAAATCAAGTTTCAAGCTATACAATGAGTGTGGCCTAGTGAACAGTACACCAGGACCCACCACAAGGATTTGTGTTATATAAATTGCATCTATGTTAGCTTCAGTCCATCATTTAGGAGCTTCATAAGCTAAAGCTCAGCTCTATGTGCAGCAGTTTACAATTTGCCTCTTCTTCCCACCCTGCCCCATTAAACATACTGAAGCAATATTCCCAATGTAAACTTATGATTCAAGTTTATACTGAAAAATGAAACTGTTATAGAAATCCACACAGCTAACTATTCAGAATTCCTGGTGTGTGTGTGGAGGGGAAGCTGCAACACTTTTATCAATGTTGGTAGAGGTAATCCTCAGCTTATGACCACAACTGAGCCCAGAAGTTATGTTGCTAATTAAAAAATTTGCTCAGTGAGTTTTGCCCCACAACTTTTCTCACCACATTTGTTAAGTGAATCACTGCAGTTCTTAAATTAGTAATTCCGTTGTTAAGTGAATCTGGTTTGCCCATTGGTTGCCAGAAGGGGATCATATGACTCTGGGACACTGCAACCGTCATAACTGTGAGTTGTCAAGCATTTGAATGTAAATCATGTGACCATGGGGATGCTGCAATGGTCATAAGTGTGAAAAGTGTCATTTTTTTCAGTGCCGTTGTAACTTCGAACGGTCACTAAATCAACTGTGTAAGTTGAGGACTACCTGTATATTTTTTATTCATTGTCACAAATAAAATATATGTAATGATGTACAATTACACTACAAATCTACAGAGACTGTGAACTCTGGATCAAATGTTAAACAGAACACTGTCACTGGAAATAAACAACTCTTGTGCCACTCAGGCAAGTTCTATTAATACTGACTTTAATTAATAATACATTTCTTATTAAATCATGCTGCCATTTAAAGGGAAAAGGCAGGGAGCAGGTCAGGCAGGGCTGGCTGGTTGGGGAGGGGGGAATCATGGCTGCTTAGGTTGCTGCCACCACCACCGCCAGCAGCTTGAATTTCCCAAGTGAAGCAGGAGTTTGCCGTTCCAAGGGAGAAACGAGAGGCTCTGCCCACCGCCGCTTGGGTGGGGAGGACAAGGAGAAGAATTGCGAGACCCAGGGAGCAGTCAGGTGGGGCTGGTTGGTTGGGGAGGGGGGATCATGGCTGCTCAAGTGGCTCCTGCCACCCCTGCCGCTGCCAGCAGCTTCAGTGCCCCGGCTGAAACAGGGATCTCTCTCTCTCTCTCTCTACACACACACACACACACACACTCACACACACACACACACACACACTGAGTTTGGAAAGCTCCCTCCTCTCTCTCTGACTCCCTGTGGCAGCAGTTGCAGTGCTTCAATGCCTGGCTGGCAGGGCGCTCAGGTAAGCTAGTGTGAGGCGTTTGGGGCAGCTCCACGCCCTCTGCCTTACTTACTCCTCCATCCCCACCACCACCTCGTTTTGTGGCCACTGCACAAGTGCATTCTCAGCCTCCTGCTAGGTTATGGTGGTGAGCATGGAGAAGGAGGGGATGTGGAGGACGAAGCAAGGCAGAGGGTGTGGAGCTGCCCCATCTGCCCCGCTGCGGTTTCCCTGAGGCCCTTCAGCCAGGTCACCCAATCCAAACCCTCACCACCACCCAAGGCAGCCACATCCCTTCACTAACCTGCTTTCCAGCTCTGTTCTCCGTCGCCACACACAGGCCCAATTCTCCATCACCACATGCAGGGCAACTAAAGTAGTCTGGTGGGACTATGGTAAAAAAAATAGTTCAGACCTTCCAACTCCACAGAAAGAAATAAAGTTCTTGTGAGGTTGGAAGATCTGAACTATTTTTTTTACCATAGTCCCACCAGACTACTTTTGTTGCCCCGCATGTGGTGATGGAGAACTGGGCCTGTGTGCGTGCGCGCTGGGATGGCATGGGCCAGTCAGGGGCTGGACCCTTATAGTTTCCAGGATGGCAATGCAGGCTAGATCCGGGCCCACGGGCCTTGAGTTTGACACCCCTGATATATGTAGTCTATATTATTCAGAAAAGAGACACACCTGTGCAATCTGCTTCCAGTGTTCAACTTCAGATTCGAGCCTAGAAATTTCACTGGACAGTCTGTTTATTTCCTGTTGAGACCAGATCACATCTCCAAAATCCATATCATCTCTATGAAAATCAGAAGAATGATGTCTAACAACAGGAAAAGAAGCTGATGTAGTGGCTGATGGAGAACCAACTGGTTTCAGCTGTGATGACTGAGCAGCTGACTGCATTTTCTGTAGTTGCTCTTGTAAAGCATTCTGCCTGGCTTTGAGATGGCTGATTTCCACCTAGACCAAGACATGTACATTTCAGTAAAGAAAGTGTTCAATCCAACATTAACTGCAACTTTTAATTTTAATTTATCTTTTAAATATTGTTTAATTTAGCTACCAGCTACTAAAATTATCCTTATTTCATTAAGCTATTTCATTAATTGTACCTTTTTCTCTTGTTTCATTATACTAAGAAGAATCCCTTAAATTAAGGCCAACTTCTTTCATGAACATGTCCTTGTCATTTTTCAACAACATAGCAGTGGTTAGCCACTACACTCTTGAGACTTGTATTTCTGGCTTCCCAGGATAGGATTATCTCCCATCTGAAAAGTAACTAAGCCCACTTTTGCTTATCTTGTTCATAATAGAACAGAACAACAGAGTTGGAAGAGACCTGGGAGGCCTTCTAGTCTACCCCCTGCTTAGGCAGGAAACCCTACACCACTTCAGACAAATGATTATCCAAACTCTTCTCAAAAACTTCCAGTGTTGGAGCATTCACAACTTCTGGAGGCAAGTTGTTCCAATGATTTATGTCAGGAAATTTCTCCTTAGTTTTAGGTTGCTTCTCTCCTTGATTAGTTTCCACGCATTGCTTCTTGTCCTACCCTCAGGTGCTTTGGGAGAATAGGTTGGCTGCCTCTTTGTGGCAGTCCCTGAGATATTGGAAGACTGCTATCATGTCACCCCAGTCCTTCTTTTCATCAGACTAGACATACCAGTTCCAGCAACCATTCTTTATATGAACAAGATCAAGTCAAGACTGCTGAATACTACCACTTAAGTGATTATTTTTTTACCAGAATCCTACAATAATGCCTCCATGAAATCAATTATGTAATTTGAATCTGATGTTAATATACTATAAAACAATCTTTGTGCAGTATCTCAGTCTGATATTTATGTGCCCTGAAGACCTCTCTCCTGTGGTTATGAGGAAGAGCATATTTGCCCTCAGAAAACAGTACATGCGTTATGAGACTGAGAGAGAATATCTTCGCAACATAATAATACATTATGAGGGAGAAGATGCATCTTAGTATGTGTTCCCATTCATACCTTTCCGACAATGGGGTTTCTTCAACAATGGGGTTTATTTCCTTCGACATAAGGAAACATAAATTACATGCAATGATTTGTCAGAGAAGGAAAATTACTTACTAATGTTGTAAATGTATGTTTTAAAAATTTTACTAACTTGAGTGCTGAATGTAAAATGCTTACTTATGGGAATTTAGTATAATAGCAAATCCAAATTTTGGGTATTTAAATCAAACATGGACAAAATAGCTGTTTAGTTACTCAACCACTTTGAACTTTTCATGACAGAATGGATATCATTTGATCAAGGCTATGTAGCAGCAATTTGTCTCCTACTGGCCTCTTTTTTATTGTCTTCTATTTTTTCAATCATCACGGTCTTCTCCAGTGACTCTTGCCTTCACATTATATATTAACAATATTTAAGCTCTAGCTTTATTAAGCAGTCTGGTTTTACTTTACCAGCTACTGAATGATTTCTTCTTCCTGTAGTCCAAGGAAGTCTGCAAAAATCTTTCCAATACCACAGTTTACAGGAGAAAACAGACTCATATTCTCATGCATAACGAAGTGGCACAGACTGCTCTTAATTATATCTTTATGTTATTGAACATATTCTATGCTGTATTGATTTCTACATATCTATACACCATATTTTTAATGTTCAATAATCCAGAGAAATTTCAGCAATCTCCCTGAACTAATTCCAGACTTTATAAAGAACAGCAGCTGTTCACGTTTTTAAAAAATTATATTACAAATGAATCATAAGCTTCCTTAAACATAAATAGAATATAAAGACAATATAAAAAATATCTTGTTATGCTGATTCTTAACGATTCAAGATGAAGTATGACTTGTAGAAAGGTTTGGGGCCACTTACACACATTACAACAAATAACCAAGTTGCCTGCCTGTCTTTACAAAATAGGTTGCCATCCTATTAAGTACATAAAGTCACAAATTAAATGTTGTTCAACTAGATTGAGCCATTATTTACCTCTTTCTGCTGTAGCTGATTACGATAATCTATAGATTTTTGCTTTATTTGAAGCTCTGCTACTTCGTTCTTTTCTTCAAGGTCATTACAAAACTTTTTCAACCTGTCATTCTAGAGAAAAATGCATTGAAACATTAATAAACAAGAGCTTAAAACTAATTTAACCCAGAGTACATATTAGGTCTGACTCCCAAACACAAAAACAAAAATGTATTTTTTTTCTATTTGCTTTTATTTGTTTTTCAGAAATAGTATCCTACCTCTGATCTCAGTGCGGAATGAAGACTTTCTACATCTCTCAGACTATTGTCAGATACAGGAAAATCAACCGCAGGACCTGAAAAGAGTAGGAATGGAAAGAAGATGAAGATATTATATTGTCACTCTCTCTCTCTCTCTCTCCCTCCCTCTCCCTCTCTTACACATACACATACATACATATATGTATCCATACACACACACAATGTACCAACACAAGTACCAAACATGGGATGTCTGTTTAATTCTAGGGAGCTGAAAGTGCCTCACTTTGAATGATTGTTAATATCTTTTGCAAATAACATTGATCAGATCTACCTTTAGATTTCAACATTAAGCCAACAGTTGGATGTGCCTCCAAAAATGCAAATGCACCAAAACAAATATAATTGTGGAACTCACAATAAGTAGTTATTCAACTGTATATTTCTTTCATCAGATTCCCACACTTGAGTCCTGCACTCTTTGAACAGAAATCAGAAAAAATTATAATAGGTTCAGACCAATCAATAAGAATGATTAGGGGACTAGAAACTAAGTCCTATGAAAAGGCATTAAAAGAGATGAGCAAGTTTAATCTAGAAAAATATATCCAAATGGGGGAATACAATAGCATTATTCAAATCCCAATGATGTCATACATAAGGTCAAGAATTCTTATTCCAAAGTTCCAACACAGAAACTTTACTAGATATTATAAAAAAGTTTAACAGTAAGAGCAGTGTGACAGTGGAACCAAATACTCAATGAAGTGCCAGGCTCCTCTTTCACAAGCTCCTCTTCCTTTTGTTCTCTTTGTTCAACAGAAGGCTAGACTGGAAGCCATCTGATATTCCTACACTGAACAGATGTTAGACTCAGTAGCCTAAATGGCCCCTTCTAACTGTATGATTGAATGACTAAGTCAGTCAGGAAAGACTCAACCCAAAATTAAGGTAGATGATCTATATCTCCTTTAGATGAGGTAAGGTATATTCCATCCTGTTTTTTAAAAGCAAGTTATAAGTCTACTCTTGAAAAAACATTTCCTTGCATCAGAAGACTGAGCAAGTATAAGTCAGTTTAAAGCAGGGGTCGCCAACCTTTTGGACCTCAGGGACCACCAAACTCATAATTTTAAATCCCACTAACTTGTTCTGTGGGTGTGGCCTAATTTGTGGGTGTGGCTTGGTGGTCATGTGACTGGCTGGGCATGGCTTGTATGTAAATATTATAAATATTTATATAAATATTGAATTTTGTATTAAAAAAGAGCAACTTTTACCCAAAATCAGGCAAAGCAGGCAGGCAGATTGAATTGCTCACAGAATCACAGATTCATTCAGAGATCTATCTACCTGCCATTAGCTGGCTTAGTCTGTCACATAAAATTTGCTTGCAAGCAAACTCATAAAATTTGCTAGCAAACTCACAAGATTAACTCACAACACACCATGTATGTAAATATTGAATTTTTTATTAAAAAAGAGCAACTTTTACCCCAAATCAGGCAAAGCAGGCAGGTAGATTGAGTTGCTCACAGAATCATTCAGTGATCTATCTGCCATCGGCTAGCTCAGTCTCTCAAATTTGCTTGCCGTGAGTCTGCACTGAATCATAGAATCTTCACTCCTAAGGGAGGTTCGGCTGTGCTTAAAAGCAGAGCCAAAGATCTAAAGACTAGCTAGAAAGCAAGAAATCCAACCATTTCCTGCTTCCTAGCTGATCTAAATCTCCCGGCACAGCAGAACACCTGAGGGTCAGAAAAAGGAAAAATAGTAATTTAGCAGGCAAATCTTCCAGGTAAGGAGTGAGTGGGCAGAGAGGGTTCCCATAGGCCATGTGGGCGGCGCAGCCTTGTGTTTCTGCACAGCCTGGATTAATCGCTTTGAGGGGGTGCTCTGGGGGTGAGATTTCTCTGTGGCCCACCAAAATTTTCTCACAGCCCTCCAGTGGGTTTAAAGCATCCCATTTCACAAAAGCAACCAAGAATTTAGCGGCTTCACAATTCCAGGTGCATCTGGATACTGTTTATCTGGACTAATGAAAATTGGGCATTTAGTTGGCAAAGCCACAGTGGCCAAAAATTGGAAGAGACCAGGTTACATACAATAGCAAAGAACTGAGATCTAACAGACTGTACAAACTATTGCATAATATTCCCAATGTCACATGCTAAAGAAATATAATACTTAGGTTCAGCCAATGTATATTTGAACCCTCTGTGTAAGGAAAATATTAGACATTTAAACTGGTTTTAGACAGAGGAAGAAGATACATTATTGCCAAGGCCTGCTGGATAAATGAGAAAGCCAAAAATCCCCCAAGTCAAAATATGCTTCACTTACTGCACAAAGGCTTTGAGTTGCATCAGCTCTGAAAATGTCCTTAAGAAAAGGAAATCCTAGAATAATATACTGTCCTCATGCCAAATTTATGTGTAAGATAGATAGTCACAAGCCAAATACAATATGGCAAAACAGACTGGCTCTAGTTTGGTAAAGTGGTAAAATAATAAGAAAGACTGCATACTCTCTCCTTATTTATTCAAGCTATATTTTGACTATAGCTTGAATAAATAATATTCTGAATACATTCTGAGTCCTTGTCTCAGGACCATTCATTTAGTGACTGTTCAAAGTTACAACGGCACTAAAAAAAGTGACTTATGACCAATCCTTGCATTTAAGACCATCACAGCATAGTTGTGGTCACCTGAACGTCATTTGGATGCTTAAAATGCAGAAGGTATTTATGATGCTTGCAATGTCCCAGGGTCACATGATCACCATTTGCAAACTTCCCAGCTGGTTTCTAACAAGAAAAGTCAACAGGGAAATTGCCAGGAGGTTGTAAGTCACAGTCATGTGATGTCTTGCTTAGTGACCATGGCAAAAATGTTTATAAAATCAGATGTAATCATGTGATGCCTGACTTAATGACCGTCCTGCTTAACAACAAATGTTCTGGCGCCAATATTGGTCATATGGTGAGGACTACCTGTATACTACATATTGAAGGGAGAGAAATTGGAAATGATGAACATCACTTTAAAACTGAAGAATAATCTGCCCCATGAGGTTAACATAATTTAGATAATTGCAAAGCCACCCAGTCATTGAGAGTTGGGAGGCATACAAGTTTAATAATTACTATTATTAACATGCAAATTATTTGCAAGATCCAGTAATAAAATAGTGAAAAAATAGGACTGTGATTAATTAACAAGATGAAAGTAATGTCAATAGGTTCAGTAAACAGCCTTAGAACTGACAATGAAGACACAGAAAAAGTGGATATTTTTACAGGATAAAGTACAGTAAAGGAACTATCAATCAAGGAATACACTACAAGCTAGCACTTAGCGGGGTATAAATGAAATATATAGCATCTGATTATATTTTCCAAATAAACTTTGGAAAAGATAATTAGATGCTATAACATATCATTATCTATAAAGATTAGAATCATGCAAACAATGACATTCCATGGATGTGAAAGATGGATATTAATTTGAGTACTATGCAAATAGTGAGGTACAGAAAGAAACTATTGTTTTTTTAGTTTCAAGAAATTACTTTGCAATAATTTACTATCATGTATACCTATTACCTTTTCTTTAGATCCTAAAATGGAGAATAGAATCTATTCTATAACCTGTATACTGTGTATATTAATTAGCAGCTTTTCTTAAAAGAAAGTAATCCATATGGAAGAAAACACTAATCTGTATAGGAATTATGGAATGCTGTTGTCTTGTGTGAATGTAATACCATAATAATACTTATAATACAAGTCTTGGACTTTGGCACTTTCTCTCTCTTCTATCCCATCTGTTATTATACAGCTTGCCATCACTTCTAAATGAAGACAGTGCATTGCTTCGATCTTTGCATCATTTGCAATTAAATTATCTCCTGGAAGCTCACCCATCCCAGGTTTAATTTAAATTTGTCAATCTCTTTATTCAAGCAACTCTCTGTATATTTGAATCAAAATTATTACACAGTAATTCTCTAAAACTGCTTTGTGACATAATTTATGGAAAATTACAATCTAAAGAGCCTTTTGATACATTTCTTATATCTTGTCCAATACTATCTTCTTCCTCTATGTTATGTTGCTATCCTTCCTCTCATAAGACATGCTTATTGTAACAGAATTATTCATAATAAGGATTTAAAGGACAAGCCTGAAGATATCTTAAATATTTTGATCAGCTGCACTAATACTTATTTCTTAGTTCAGATCAAATGGATATTTTAGTACATGAAGCTATAAAAACCTTTAGTACGAATGTTATTTTAAAAAAAATTAGTTTCAAGAAATTACTTTGGGATAAATTACCATCTCATACATCTATAGCCTCTTCTTTGGATCCTAAGATAGAGAATAAAATATCTTACCAAAAAAAGCCCTCAATTTATAGTGCAAGTACCCAAGATTCTATGATCCTTGAGCTCTGTATCCATCTGGTTTTTTTTAAAGGTAGCCTTCCCTAATCTGACATTTTCAGATATATTAGGGCAGTAATTCTCCAGTCGGTATGTAGGTGCTGGTTGAGTGCCTGCAGGCTATATGGGTCTGGATGGGTAGGAGCTAGCCTTAGCTCAACCCCATCAAGACAGAATGGCCCTGGATTTTTGACCCCCAGGCCCAGATGATATTTCATCTCTGACTCTGAATGAAGTGGCATTGACTTGGGCACACAATTTGGAGGACCATCTAAAACCACCACTTCTGCTCAAGAAGCAGGTGGCAACCATGTTGGTGGGGGGAGGTTGTCTTTATACAGATTCATCTGGTGTTCCAACTGCATCTTTTCCTGGACTGTGCGGCCTTGGCTATTTCTCATATGGATTGCTACAACATGCTGTACATGTGGCTACCCAGAAGCTACACCTGGTCTAGAAAATGATGGTTCATGCAGTGATCGGTGTCCCTAGGTGTACCCATATGAGTCCTCTGTTGTTTGAGCTGCAATGACTCCCAGTTTCCTTCCAGATGCAAGTCAAGATGCTGCTTGTTACCTTTAAAAGCGTATATAGCACAAGGTCAGGTTATCTGCAGGACTGCCACTTCCTACCAGAGTAGATAGGGTGGGCATGTTCCCAGTCCCTTCCCTTGAATATTGCTATCTTATGGGTTTAGGAAGTATGCCTTTTCCGTGGCAGTCTCTACTCTCCTAGCCTTCCCTAAAGTACCTACGACCAACTGCTGGGATATGATGAGGTGAATGAGAGGATTTATGGCTTTAATTCATATATGTATTATGCTGTTTTAATTGTTGATTGGGTGAGCGGGTGACACCCAGGGTTTGATATAAGTCAAGTGGCTACAGTATATAAATATTTTAAATGAATAATGAAAGTTGCAGTCCCAAGTTCTTTGCAGTATACCAGGTGGGAGCTATTCTTTTGCTTGTTTGTTTGCAACATTCAGAGTTATTGTTTAAGGGACAGAAGACAGAAAGGGTGAATAAAAAAGAAAATTTCCTACATTAAAAAAAAACCCTGCCTTCCTCTCTTTCAGAAGTACCTGGTCCAAGATCTCTTCCTTTTTTTTCCCACATGAGGGAAACATATGCCGCCATTCTCCACCTGCAGGACACAGGTTAATATTTACAGAAAATATCTCCACAACTTCATTGGAGAATTTTTGGGGGAAGAATCCCCGTCCCCAGTCTGAAAACCTCTAACCTGTCATATCCTGGCCTTTGCCGCTTGATCCTAACCCCCACCCCACCCACATCGTCGCCTTTTCTTACCTCCCACCTCTTCTGTCCCTTCTAACAGCATATCCTTGGTGAAGCTGGAGATCTGTCCGGTCAGTGTCGACAAGCTGCCTCCGACCTGCCCCACCAGGGACTGGCCGAAACCCGCACCGAGGCCCCCCAGCCACGACGACATCCCAGTCAAGGCTCAACCCAGTCCTCGGGGAAAGAGAGAAAGCACCACAGTAACAATCAGCTGGGGTCTCCTACGCCGCTTTCCCCCACCCAAATAGGGTCCGTCCCTTGGTCTAGCCGTTTCAAGGAGAGCAGCAAGCCGCCGGGTGACTTTTTGAGGTCTTAAAAAGGCTCTTGTCGTAGGATTTCTACCGGCCAGCCGTCCCGGCCGGGGTTGTTCAATCAGCTGTAAGGCCTCCAGATCTAGCTGCCACCTCAACGGCCGCCATGACACCTCCAGCTCATCATAGAGCACGGAAGAGTAGAGCGCCCTGTTGGCGCTCGGGGAATGCGTCTCAAGAAACAAAGGTCGACGGGACGTGGAGGGTGGTGGAAATGTTGCGTGCTCGCCGGAGAGGTAGCTTTAGTCTCACCTGGTTTTACCCACCCCCCACTCCGGCCCTTTCCAAAAATTTGGTTGGATTACCCGTGGCTAATTCCCAACTCGACATGCATCCGAATTCCTTGTTCTTTGAGGATAGATCTTAGACCCCCGCCCACTCCGCGTAGACAGATGTGAAATATTTCACAGGATTACGAGGTATCCAGAATTATTTGTGGCTGCCCCCCTTTGGGATTTCACCAGTGTTTATGAACAGTAAGAGCACTTTTTATTCCGTTCCAGTACGATTTCAAACAAACAAACAAACTTCGTAATAGATGCTGTCTTCCCCTTTAGTATTTCCCAAATCTTTAGATGGTCGTAAATGCGAAGACCGGTTGTAAGTCACTTTTTTTTAGTGCTGTTAATAACTTTGAATGGTTGCTAAACCATTCTGTTTCTCAACTGTGCTAATATGAGATACGTCATGTGGGTTCCAGACTGATGAGCTGTATTCGAGTATTGGTCTAGCATATGTTTTGTATGCTCTAATAGTTAGTAGTGTGATATTACCAGAGAAAAAGCTACATAGGATAAGGTTAACAACTCTTAATGCCTTTTTGGCTATGTAGTTACAGTGGGCTCTAGCACTTAGATCATTAGAGGTGAGTACTCCAAGGTCCTTTACAGAGCTTGGATCATCAACAAGGTCTTGACTATTCAGCTTGTATTTTATTTTCTGATTTTTTTTGCCAATATGTAGGATAGCATTTATTTGTTGAGATTTGAAGTTGCCATTTGTTTGACCATTCTGATACATAGTCAAGATCTTTTTGAAGGGTAGCAGTATTGCCTGTGGTATTGAACAGCTTTACATCATCAGCTAAAAGAACGCAGTTGCTCTTAAAATGATCACAGAGGTCATTTATGTAGAGTATGAAGAGAGTTGGTCCTAGAACACTGCCTTGGGGGACACCACTATTGATAGGTACAGAATTTGATAGGACTTGATATTTATAGAGGCAGATACTGTTAATATTAATTTCTGGGTCCATTGTTCAAAAATACCTTTCAGTATGTCCAAGATTAAAATAGTTTCTTTATTAGTAAGTCAAATGTGTTTTTTATTGTAATCTTTTGCCAGGTTCCCTCTAGTGTCTCAATTCAAAGTCATATCATGTTTCTTTTCAAGATAATTCAAAACAAAAGGATTTTCCAACAGGAAGGATTCTTCTAATTAATTGAAAAATCTTTATTTCAAATCTAAAATCATAGTGCTAATCACCTTTTGCTGTTTATTTCAAAAGAATTTTCTTTAAAAAAATTAAGTCCTTAAACCTGGATTTAAAATGTCTTTTGGTAAGAAACCTAGTGCTGTAAAATGCGTTGAACCAAAGGTTCCTAATAGCTTAGTTAACAACCAATTTCTAAAAAGTGGTTAGAAAAGTAAGCATGTGAACCCAGGGTCATTTGGAAAGCACCAACTTGGTTTGAGAGTTGGCTATTCTTTCATTGCCAGAGCTCAAAACCCACTAGACACTACTGCCTTACATTCTCTTCACAAGGAGCAACTGTATGAAGCACTTCTGGGTCTTCTCTTTGTCCACAGAGGAATTATGAAGAGAAAGCCTACTTGTTAGTTCTTCATTCTGCCATGGTTGTGTCAGCTCTGTCTTCAGTTTGCCATTTCTTCCTTAGAAGTCCCCATTTGCAGGAGGTTTTTTTTTTTTCATTATGAAAATGCATAATTTAGCCAAGGTTTTAAAAGGTCAAATTTGGACCTGAATAAGCATAATAATGCAAGGGAAACATTATTGTTTGATGATTCAAACCAAATACGGTCAGAAACCTGATGAAGAAGATTCTGCTCTCAACTCTAGGTGGCTTACAATAAAAAGCAATTTTTTTAAAAAAAGCAATTGGTAATCATAATAGGCGACCTGGCTCATATTTATACTTCCCTCACTATGGAGCGGTGCAAGGGTGGGATTCAAAATTTTTAACAACCGATTATGTGGGCGTGGCCATGTGACTGGGTGGGTGTGGCTTTTTTGCAAAACCCATTTTTTTGCCCGTTTTTGTTTGTTTGCTTGTTTTACATTGAGCATCAGTTTTGTCCTGTGTGATGCAGTATTATTTTCAAAAAGTTCACAAAGGAACCATTAGTTATCACAGAGCTGAAGGTGCGATGGACTTGGCTTTGCCTTCTAATTATTGCTTCTTATTTATACAAAGGTAACTATTGTAATCTTACACATAACAACATATTTTCAATTTTATTTACTAGCTGATAACCTGGTATTGCCTGGGTATCTATCCCAATCCCGTATGAATTATATCTATAGTAGTTGGGCCTGACGCTGTTGTACTGTCTCTGAAGCTCTAGATGTAGCTCCCTCTCTTATCCTTTAGTTGGGCCTCACGCTGTTGTATTGGAAGACACACTCACACACACACACACACATATTGAGAGGTGTTGGGGTATCTTACCTCTACAGTATTTGTTTCCAGAGGGCAAGTCATTTGTGTATGTTTGGTTGAAATTGCTCGAGCCGTTCCAGAGTTATACACAGTAGCCGATAACCCGGCGTTGCCCAGATATTTATTTATCCCAATCCTGTATTAGATAGGAAAATCTTGTAGTTGGGATTCACACTGTTTTACTGTCTCTCATGCAGCGTCACAAGTCTTGTATTCCTCTCCTCAGGAGTTTGTCTATTCTGGCACTTGGCCAATCGCCTGATGTTTCCTTGGAGGGCTCAGAGGGAGTCCCTTTGTGGAGTACTGTGAAGCCATTACCATGGAAAATCCACTGTGCTGTACAGAAGCCATTTTAAGGCACAAACACCCAGAGGGGTGTCTTACCCCCACAGTATTTGTTTCCAGAGGGTAAGTCATCTGTGTACCAAGCTTGGTTGAAATTACTTGAGGTGTTCCAGAGTTATGCTGGAACACATACACGCACACATACACACGTTTTTATATATAGATAAATTTTTATGCTGCCCATCTCCTCTATAAGGCAGCTCTGGGCAGCTACAGATTATTAAGGGATTGGGACTATATCTGAAGCATGTATTTTTCCAAAGACCTAAGTTTGAGGACAATGAACCAAATGATTTTCACTCTATAGAATATTATGTCCGTCCTACCCAGGGAGTGAGATTGGCTCCATCCCCAATGTCCTTGCAGAAGTCCCCCAAAGCTTGAGTGTGTTGATAGGCTGGGGGATCTCAAGGAAGTGGTGATTTAATGAGGTAGCTACATTGCTTGTAACATTTAATAATCTTTTCTAGCAATTAAATGTTTTAATTATGAAATTTAAATATACTTTAATATTAATAATTTTCAATATTGTGACTGTTTTTTATTGTACGTTGCCCAGGATCATGTTCAGGAGATTGAGTGGGGCATATAAGTATGATAAATAAATAAATTCTACACCATTATCTGGTTATAATGCCAATGGAATAAAAAACCCCTAGAGGACATTTTTTTAAAAGGTCTTGGCTATGAAGGAAATCCAGATTTCTTTCAGGTCTTCCACCAAAAGTGGATTCCATACTTTTCAGTTTTAGGAATGTTCATCATTACAAATAGACAATTTTCAAGGCTGTCCATTAATGTAATCCCCAAATAGAGAAATTTTCAAATTAATAAAAAAATCTCTCCCAAAATCTACTGCATTAACTTTAAACCATGGAATGTTTTACATTGGTTGGCTCTTAAATAAGGATTACACCTTTTTTAAGTACACATTAAATGGAAAAATTATTTTTAAAATCTTTGCTTCATAATGGATATGATATATATTGTATATGTATAAAGATACTCTGCTTGATGAAAAGATACATTTGAAAGAAGTGGACCTAAATTCATCCAGATTCAACTTGTCCACAAGGACACAATTTATTGGAAAAGTAAGAAAAAATAAAACTATGATTTTTTACAGACTAGTATGATTTCATTTCATGGCTTCTATACATCTTTTCATATATTTCTTTTCAAGTAGTAGCTTAAACACAAAATGAATGCATGTAGCTTTATGTAACTAATGCTGTTATTTTTTTCAAAACAATGTGCAGTAAATATGGTATTTTTTGTTAATAAATAAATTAGGCAGATCTAAAATAGCTATATTCAGTTTACTGACTGGCAAAGCTAGATACACTTTTATAGCATTTATCCCTGGACCAAACTGTCCTCCTTGTATTTCTGTAATAGCTTCCCAGAAATCAACAGCATACGAAACATGAAAATAAGAGGCATTTGGCTTTCATATTTAACTACCTACTTAAATAATTTTTGTAAGCAGATATTATCAAAATCAATTTTAATAGTTATTTTTATAGTACCATAATCTGTGTACATTTACTAATCATTCAGTAGCAAAGAATGACACATCAACATGGCGGAATATGATTTTAAAATAATTTGCAAAACCTAATCAATTTCACAAGATTTTTTTGTATATCTGGCAAGTATCCATAGGTTTAATGAGTATATCATTTGTATCCAAAACTATAGCCTTAATATGTATATGAAAACAGAATGTGCGCTTAAAGCATTTTTTGCCAACTTCAGTTATCCTGCAATATTTGTTATGTAACATTTGTCTGTCAGAATATAACTAGTTTACAGAATTTGCTTCCCAGTTTCCCTTGGTAATAGAAACAGAATAAACAGTAAAGTGCATGAATGAAGACCATTCATGAAAAGCTGCAAATCTGTTACAAGAAAACATTAACATCTGATAAAATACATATTCATACACATTTGTGTATATCCATTTTAACACATAAGTAACTGTGCAAGGTTCATTTCAGATGTTACTAATGTATATTAATATGGCACTGAAATCACGGCATCAAAATCTCTTTTAACTTCACTTCAAAATTAATATGGAATCTTGGAAAGGCTATAGCTCAATGACAGAGCACATGATACACATATAGAAATTCCGGGTTCAATTCTAATTATCCTCCATTAAAAGCAATTCAGAGAGCAGATTCTTGCTTGAGACTGGAGAATCACTGCCAGAGTAGATAATTCTAACCTAAATGGATCAATAAGCTGATTCAGTAGAAGGTAACTTATGTCCAGCTTGATAGTATTAATACTTACAGAAATATCTTACAGAAGATAAAATATTAATACCAACTGGAATAAGAATTATAACATTTATCAACTATATCCAACACTTTTGACTTCAGTTAATCAGATTCTAGGTGTTGGCTGAATATATATACTAGTTCAGTGCATCATAGCCAGTATTGGCCCAACATTTAGTTAAAAAAATACTAAAGGCATTTTTGGAGCAAAACAAGGAAGAAATAAGTCTTGAGTCTGCTATTGGAGAGAGTTCCTCCTGTGTGCCCATTAAATCAGCCTTGGAAGATTGGAATGCGTGGAGGCAGATCTGGAGGAGCAGGAAAATAAAAGCAGGATGTTCCATTTTATGATGATGATCTTTAATACTCTAGCACAGTCTTCCAAAATAGGTTTGATGGCCTGCAAATCTCTTGCTATTCTTAATCAAAATGTTGTTAACTGATTAAATTCTGAAATTAAGCTGATGTACTGATTCATGTGTGTAATTCAAATATCTCTAAAAAATGAAAGGACATTTGTATTATATTCAGTCTGTTAATCTGGAATCTTGGAAGTGCACTGTAAACATGATATTTAGAACCCCTTTGAGCATATATGTGAAACTACAAATTTTTAGATTTCACATAATCTTATTTAGCAAAGTTCCAAAGCCTTGCTTTATAATCAGGTGATGCTTGATCTTCCTGTTAAGAATACATCCTCTAAGAACAAGCCATCACAACTGAGAGAGCTGCTCCAAATACAAAGATCTGCAGATATCATAAACTCAACCTGAACATCTATGGATCAGAAAAATATTGGATGAGATTTTATTGTATATTAAATACCCCTTTTCTCACTGTTCTTCTGACTGAATAGAAGTTACCCAGAAGGTCAACGGTATTACCATAAACTAATGAGATTTTGTTGTATAGTAACCAAATTGTTTTTTTAATTCTGATCCTCAGTCCGAAATCTCACACTGTATCTTGATTTGGTACATCAATGAAATGAACCCTACCTTTATGCCACCCACACAGAATTAATACAGAATGTTGCGTTCAGATTAGAATAAATATAAATATTTGTCATTTCTTTTCCTGTGTATTCAAGCTGTTTGTAACAGTTTCCAAGGACATATTCATAGCGGCTTGAAGCATATCATTTTCACTCAAATCACCTCCTGAGAAGAAACAAGAAAACAAAATATATTAGTTTTAAAAGACAGAAAAAGATCTAGTTCTGATGCTCATAGCTTATTAGTTCAAGACAGGAGTGGGGAACGTCTTGCTGTCAGACAGGCCTATCCAGGAATTCCCCAAAGACCTAGTAACCATTTCCTACTTTCTGCTACCAATTGTGCAATACAGTCACTCAGATCCACTTTACCCATGTCTTTTTTTAATGTAATTAGGAGTCAGAACATGATCTGACTGACTGATGTAAATTAAACCTCTGCAATGTCATGTGGCCTTCAAATCGGGTAGGAGTCTGGATTTACTTGGAACTAAATCTAAGTCTCCACTTTTGGTTTAGAAATTGGTAAAGAGGATTGGGGTCATTATTCTCCACCCTTCCCACCTACCCCCCAGGTGTTTATCCTTTTCCTTGTTGGTAGATTCATAGAGGAGACTAGATTGCATTCAACTACAGATTCCTCTGAACAGGAAAACCCTTGGCTTAATATTAAAAAGAAAAAAATAAATTAGAAAGCCTTGAACCAAAGTTAACAGATGCCTATCCTTTTTTTTTCAGATATTTTGAGATGTCTGAATATTTTATTAAGTGATATAGATTTTATAAAAGTTGATATAAATTCTAAAAGAAAAAAGCATCAAATATTTTATTTATTCTATTACATTTATAGCCTACCTTTCCTGTTAGGCTAAAAGAAACCAACCATATAATCAGTGAGGAATGTGAGGTTTTCTAGCCTGCCCTAGTTGTTCATTTTAAGCACTACACCACAATGGCTCACTGGCCTAGTTAGTCATTCTATTTCATTATTCATTCTTTGAATAATACCCAGAAAGCATCACCCACACAAAATATACCTGCTACTTCTGGTAACCTGTTTCTATGCCTTTTATACCTTAAAAGGGTGAATAAGAACAGAAAAGGTGATGCCAAAAAAATGCTAGCGTAAATGCTAGCTAAAGTACAGTTTTCTAAAATTAAGTCTCATATATAATGCACTATGAATTCCAGCAACATATTTTCAACATATGGCTAATGGCAGATAAGTATCTATGGCATCCAAATAGGTTGGCAGTTAAGGGTGAATTTTACCCTATGCCACTGAAACCATTAGACTTAGAACTGATTCTATGAGCACTCCCAAGTTACAAATCTAATCAAGAGGAGTGATCAGATTTAGAGTAGACTGAACAGATTCTTTTCCCAGTTTATTAGGAATCATCTATTACAGTTCAGACATCAATTCAGAACAAGTACCACCATGCTTGTACTTGATGAGAAAGGACAGAACTGGACATCATTCACACACTGGTACTTCATTGTTGTTCTCTACATAATCTCTATAAAGTAGATGCTCAAAATAAACACAAAACACAAAACAGTATTTTGGAAGACACCCACCCCACACGGAACTGCCACAGGACAGAACAGCAGTGCTTTCTGAAAATTTGGTATTTCCCAGAAGGATAAGCTGACCAATGATACAGAAAGCTAATAAGATATTTGGTAAAATGTATTAAACAAAGTAAGAAATATCCTTGGCTCATTTGAAAGAATAACTGGAAACATGTTGAAATCTAGCAAATAAAAGCAATACCTGTGTCATTAACTAGTGTGTGTGAATTTGTAGCTGCTTCACCATGGAATTGTGGAATCTGAACTTGCTTTTGCAGCTGCTGCTGTCTAAAATAATCAAAGAGAAATATGCAGCATTAATTTTTATTATACATAGAAAATCCTATAACTTTATTATTCCTTGCCTTTCTTCATCCAATTTTATTTTTCCTATTTAATAATGAAATATTTAAAAAGTTCACAGTACAAGAAGCTGGACCAATTTATTTCAATTTTGCACTACACACATTAACACACATACATATATACATGTATGTATGTATATTTAAAATATCCAATTCTAAAAACATCAGATAGGTTTAATATTTAAAGAATATTGATCCCAGAGAATTAGCCAATAAGCTTACTAACAAATGTTGACAAAACTCCACATTTTGGTCTTTTCTCCTAGATTCCATTTTTCTCCTAATACAGAATACACAACACAAAAATATTTTGGGATCATACTGTTGGGAAATACATCTGATTCCAAAGCCATGAGATGACAAACGATCCTTGAAAGAGCTAAACCAGTGCATTCTCAGAGAAAAGAAGAAAAAATGTTCCCAGGAGAACCTCAAAGTTCTCTGATCAAGATATGGAGTTTGGCACATTACTATGGTAGAATATACTTCTGGACAATAATTACAGTGATGAGGATTAGGGGAAATGAAGTCTGTCTGTTGATGCATTTTCAGTTATTACCTTGAATTAATGCAACATAAAAATTTTCTTCAAAATAAAAATGATATAGGTAAATTACACATGTACATAAAATAGACAAGAATTATAGGAGTACCAATTGCTAATGAATGTATTTTATCATTACATAATAAGAACAAGAGATGTATTTTGGTACCATATCCCAACTAATTTATAGTCTAGAGCAAGCCAAAAGAGAAATTGGATCTGCTTGTGAAATAAGATCTTATTAAAAAGAAGCACTAAAAAGAATGATGCCAAGAGACAGGCAGTATAGCATTTTCAATTAAAAATAGTAACATTGCTGCCACTTTCGAACAAGATGACACAATGTTTGCCAAGAAGTAATCAATGAATACTTAACAGAGATAAATTATCAATTTGCTACTAGTTTATACTTTATACTGCCCTAAATAAAAATACTTAAGTCATCATGATAAAGCATCATACATTCATTTGCATTTCAAACTGGAACAATCATCTATATAACTAACCAATGAATTAGTTACGTAGGTAGCGTGTTTTGCCCAAGAACGGAATCCTGCTATCTGCAGCCAGCATGGTGCCTCAGTCTTGTACTATAATATCAAGCCAAAAGAATCGAGATATTTGCAAAACTGAGTGAGTGGTTCAGGACTCTTAAGAACCAGTTCAACACTGGGTATGAGTTAATTCAGGAAAAACAAACACCTCTCAGCACTCTCCTAATACTTTGGACTACAATTCTGTGTTCTAACCAGCATAGTTGGCATTAGAAAAGATAGGAACTGTAATCCAAAATACCTGAAAAAATCAAGTAATAAAGTAATATCACTTAACAAAGGCTTCTGGGGCTTGCCATCCACAAATTATGCTTTACACAGTTTACATTACTTTTCAAAATAGGCCTGTCTTCGACGCCGCAATTCTTCTGATGGGAGAGATTCAGTTTGGCCTGTTGCAGATGAGTGTGGAATGTTCTGTGTGCAACAATCTGAGAAGCCACTTCGATGTTCTCCTAAAAGTCACACACACCCACTTATTGGGAAGGTTAAGTTAACCAGAATATTTATATGTTTTGCATAAAATAACAAAAGCAATCTACAATAGAAATTTGTATAATAATCATCATATAATAGAAGAATTAAACAGTAATAACAAGGAACAATATAAAAAACATTTTAAAAAAGCAACAAATGCAACTCCCATCAATCATACTTTAAAACCTAGAACAAAACAAAAAATATCCCCCGTTTGGTTTCCTCCACAGCTGGTAATAAAAAGGCTGGTGCCAGTTAGACATGCTCAGGGAGGACATTCCACAAAGCAGGAGAAGATCATGCTGACTGTAGAATAAATGGAGGCTCAAAATGAACACTTTCACCTCTGATGTAATAATGCATGTACTAATAATCAGTTCTTTTAATATCACTGCATTTCAAAACCAGAAGATTGAGAGGTCTAATCCTGCCTTAGTAATGAAAGCTAACTGTGATTTAAGGCCGTCACTTTCACTTCAACTCATTTATAAAAATGAATTTAAAAAACAACACTGGTATAATCCTGCTTAGTAGCTGGGCTACCAACTGAATGTTTCATATCACCTTAAAAGAGGTCCTGTTAGATACTTAAAATATTTTAATAACTGCCTAAAACAGTTTTGAAATGCTGTCACCTTGTAATAATATTAATGTGAGACACACTATATTTTAAAATTATTATTCCTACCTTAAACTTCAGAATTTGGTTACTGAATTAAGAAAAAAAGTAAGATTACTCTTTTTGTTTTTGCTCTGGTGGGATGGAAAAAGCAAGAAGCTAATTTTGAGTGTTAACCACCCTTCTGCCACCAAAGCACTCTTAACTGCAGATCTCTGGTAAATATCGTTCAACTTTCCTCACACTTTTCCATATATGTGAAAGTAAAAAGAAATAATTTCTTGCAAATACTTTATTTGCTTTCTTCCCCAAACTTAGTATTAAATCATTCAAACCTGAGTATCAATCCTTGCATCTAGTCACTTCAGAAAAAATCCCACTCTGCTCCAGAGAATAAATTTCTCTGAAAAACTTAAATGAATCCAAAGCACATCACCAGATGAAACACTTATTTACTAGGGTTGTGCAGTGTTTGAACATGATTTGGAAATTAATTATTTTGACTCAGAGATTGTGCAAAGTCTAAATAAAACGTAACTCATTTTTAAAGTGTGCAAATCTTATAAAGACATTTTAAAGGTATGTAATGCTTCTGTGAGCAGAAAATTTGGTGTAACCTTGACTCACTTTGGGTCAATCACTGTCTCAGCAATAGGAAGAAAGTCACAGCAAACATGTCCAATCTCTGGCAGACAAAACTGCTGATACTAGTCCTGGCAATCAGCAGGAGTCCACACTGACTCAAAGGCACATATGCAAAAAGCTTCAGTATATTTTTATTGCTTGGTTGTATTATATTTGAATATGATTAACCATACAAAATATCAATTCATTTTTAAAAACAAAATGTAATCTTTTACCTTGCATACTAAGTTGAATAGCCCTCCGGAGATCTGCTTCTTCATCCTCCATATCTATTTCCTGTCTGCTGAGTGCAAGTGCTTTTTGGAAATTTTCTTCATCTTCATCTAACATATTGGTATTATCAAAGGACTGGTTAACATCTAGTGCTTGTTCTAAGTCTGTTTTTTGCACTCTGGAAAAGTTAAACAGGAAAAAAAAACATTCTTATTCTAAAGCCAAATGCTGTGCTGTGTTGAGATAAGTAGTAGAGAGAAGGATTTAGTTTTTAAAAGATTGAGCGAGCAGAAAAAAGATGGCCATCAGAATGAAATCGGACTGGTTTTTTGTTGTTCATATCAGAAGCATCACAATTAAAATAAGGCATACCATATGACATAACATTTAAAATATTAAATACAAGATTAGAATATCTCCAGATTAAACAGATCTTGCCCAGAAACTAGCAACATTGTGTTCTGTCATGCTGCCATGAGGTCCTCAAGTATACCCTGATAGGGACACAAAGGGCAGATGTATGTGTTATTATCTCCATGTCACCACAATCACAAAGAATAGAAGCCAGAAGTCTCTGGATCTCGTTGCACTCATGCACAGTCTATTAATGAGGTCAGTAGATTTATATATAGCACCATTGACACTTTATTTAAGATTCTTCTAATAGCTGCATTTGCAAGGATAGCTATGAAGGTAGTCCAAGCCTTTTTTTTAAAGTCTTACTTTAAAAAAAAATCCAATTCTTAAAAAAATATGCAGAAATGATGCAAAACTTATTTAGTATTTGGTGTATCTTCTATTACGCATAGACAATATCTTTATTATACGCAAACATATATTTTGGTTTATTCCATGTGTAAACATAATAATACCCTCTACTTTAGCTCCTATTTTCTTTGTTCATAATCAGGACTCAAAAATACCTACACCAAATCCATTAAAGCATTTATTTACCTTACCTCTGATCTCTTGATTGCAGTGTCTCTTCCCCAATTAATTTTGGCCTTTGCATTTGTTGCACTCGAATCATTTGCAGTAATTGATCAGCTTCACAATCAGGTAAGTCACCTTTTACAACAAATATTGAATAACCTATGAAAGATAAGAGGATACATAGAGATTAGGAAGATAATCTAAAAATTAATATAAAGTACAATTAAGTAATTAATATAAAGTTAGTGGACAAAGCATTAATGGATAGAAAAAATGTTCTTTATCAATATTGGGCAATTTGGTTATGCATTCTGCATAACTCAGTTAAATAACACAGGAAGAAGAGTCTCCTTAGATCAATATTACAGCAACATTAGAGCATTCAGCATCTGAAAATGAGCATTACCTTCCTGTTGTAGTTGGGCCAGAAAAAGTGCAAGGTAAGTATCAGATATTAGTTCTGGACCAGTCAAGAGAGAGTTCAAGTTGAACCACTGTTCAAAGAAAGAAAATTAACATGCAGGGTGATTATTAATGATATATTTTAATACATAGCAAAACATATACCTGCTATTAAAACAATTAAGTAAACATATATGCAATCAAAGATAAATATTTTTTTTGTATTACCGTATATACTCGAGTATAAGTCGACCTGAATATAAGCCGAGGCACCTAATTTTGCCTCAAAAAACTGGGAAAACTTATTGACTCGAGTATAAGCCGAGTTTTTCAGCACATTTTTTATGCTGAAAAAAAACCCCTCGGCTTATACTCAAGTGAGATTTCCTCTGGAAAAAAAAAATGGTGTGGAGCTCCGGATCTGGGCAGCCGCTTCCCTGCTTC